AGTTAAGGGAGCAGTAATGGAAAGTTAAGGGAACAGTTAAGGGAGCAGTAATGGAAAGTTAAGGGAGCAGTAATGGAAAGTTAAGGGAGCAGTAATGGAAAGTTAAGGGAGCAGTAATGGAAAATTTAAGGGAGCAGTAATGGAAAGTTAAGGGAGCAGTAATGGAAAGTTAAGGGAGCAGTAATGGAAAGTTAAGGAAGCAGTAATGGAAAATTTAAGGGAGCAGTAATGGAAAGTTAAGGGAGCAGTAATGGAAAATTTAAGGGAGCAGTAATGGAAAGTTAAGGGAGCAGTAATGGAAAATTTAAGGGGGCAGTAATGGAAAGTTAAGGGAGCAGTAATGGAAAATTTAAGGGGGCAGTAATGGAAAGTTAAGGGAGCAGTAATGGAAAGTTAAGGGAGCAGTAATGGAAAATTTAAGGGAGCAGTAATGGAAAGTTAAGGGAGCAGTAATGGAAAATTTAAGGGAGCAGTAATGGAAAGTTAAGGGGGCAGTAATGGAAAATTTAAGGGAGCAGTAATGGAAAGTTAAGGGAGCAGTAATGGAAAATTTAAGGGAGCAGTAATGGAAAGTTAAGGGAGCAGTAATGGAAAATTTAAGGGAGCAGTAATGGAAAGTTAAGGGAGCAGTAATGGAAAGTTAAGGGAGCAGTAATGGAAAGTTAAGGGGGCAGTAATGGAAAGTTAAGGGAGCAGTAATGGAAAATTTAAGGGAGCAGTAATGGAAAATTTAAGGGAGCAGTAATGGAAAGTTAAGGGAGCAGTAATGGAAAGTTAAGGGAGCAGTAATGGAAAATTTAAGGGAGCAGTAATGGAAAGTTAAGGGAGCAGTAATGGAAAGTTAAGGGAGCAGTAATGGATAAAGAAAACGTGTTAGAGCGACAGCCTAACATATATATATATATAAATCAAATGAATACATATATACATATATATATATATTATTTACCATAAATCCACTGGTGACAACGTCACCTGAACATCCAATCACCTGAGCCAACGGGTGGCCCACCTCGGGAGGCTGGTGTGGATTGCTCATGGCAGTGAACCCAGCAGCGGTCATCACAGTGCGCCTCGGAGCGCAGTGGATTCATGTCATTTCCGGCACGATCCATTCGGGAGGTACAGAATGACAGGATGGGGCCCCAGTTCGTTAGCTAAGTTGGTGAACTTAACTAGAATAACCATAGTGTATGGTACTTATAACTATATTTAGATGGGGTTATAAACCAATTTATAACTACTAGAATAACCATAGTGTATGGCACTTATAACTTTATAACTATATTTAGATGGGCTTTTAAACCAACTAACATCACTGGAGGGCCCCATCCTGTACCCTTTGGTAATTTGTTACGTGTTCCTATTGAAGCCATAGCCCAGTCGAAATAGTTGATGACTACCCATTAATAGCATGGTGATTTCCATGGCTATGTTATAGCAAACTGACAGTTAATGGGATTATTAATGAGGTAATTAACAATGGGATATTGAAACTAACAGTACAGTAATAGTTAATTAATGGGATACCCTTTGGAAAACAAGCAGTTTGCTATTGAAGCCATGGCTGCCAAGACCCAGTCGAAATAGTTGATGACTACCCATTAATAGCATGGTTATTTTCCAGTTCGCAAACTGATTTAACTACCCATTGATAATAACTACCCATTTTAACAGTGGGTTATAACTGCCCATTGATAATAACTACTATTGTCATTGTATATTCTCCAGTTTTTTGGGGTTATACAATTACCCCCTTGATGGATCAAACAGATAAAAATTCATCCGGAGTTGACATTTTGACAAAAGCTATGTTTGGAGACTTGGACCCCCAGGTTGTACAGATAAAGAACAGGCAACAGTTGGAAAGAGTACTGACATCTTTGGAGCTAATACAGTGTCATACATTTTCATGGTTGAATTGAGGGTCTAGGTATGCTGGGATTGTCTATAGCGACATCATGTTTGATCTAACAAATACAGTAACGTTACTAGAGAGCCATGCTCTTGCTCCTTTTGTATATAGTTAATAGCTACTAGTGAGAAGCACAGGAAAAAGATCTTCAAATAGCATTATTCCTTGATTAGACACCTATTTTTGAGGTCTTGATCTTCATGTAGCACCATTTTGGTTGGTCAATTCCATCATTCATTGTATCAATGGGAATTTCAGGATCCTAAAATGGAGGTACTGTACCATATAAGGCGGCCATATTTTGGGATATCCCCTTTTGATTTCATCATTCACTATCAAATTATCATTACATCACCATATCACAACCATTAAAACTCTGAAATTAAGCCAAATATCCCAATAAATCACCAAAGGCCTTATGTTCTAGGGATATTCCCTTACAATGGCCTTATATATGGTAGAATCCTTCGTTGTTTCACCCGAGTCCCGAGGCAACTGTGCTGGAACCCCTCAGCTGCCGCTGTCGCAGTTTGGTGGATCAACTTCAGGTGAGGAAAAGCCTGCCATGACAACCGACCATGACTGAGGAGGGTTTAGATCAACCATTTATGGTGATTTTATGGTGATTTTATGGTGATTTTATGGTGATTGTATGATTTATCTGGGTAAATTATAACGACCTCACTGTTCTCCCTCACTGGAATCATGGTTAATAAGGGAAATCATCCCCAAATGGCCGAACTATTCAGGTTAGTGAAATATTATAATTTACCCAGATTCATGGTGATTTTAAATAATAAACCATGTAAGCCATTTATGGTGACCACTTATGGACACCCATTATTAACAATAAATGTTCACCATATATCATCATATATTAACCATAGATTGACCATATATTAGCCATTTGTGGTGATTTTGGGGGGATTGATTATTATTGGGATTACCACATTATGATGTTTTAACCAATTCAAGAAAAAATCAACTGGGCAAAAGTGTAGGTGATGTATATTCTAATTGGTTTCCACAGCAGAAAAAATGGTGTGAAGCTATGGAACTAAGGAACTAGCAGATATGGAACTGATTTCCACAGCGCATTCTGAGGTGATGACGGCTGTCCCCTGGGTTCCAGGTTCTCCCATCGGGTTGTAAGATGTGTATCGGATGTGCCCCCTTGTAACAGCCAAACAATGGATTTCCACATATCATTGCTTAGCATAAATTATACCAAGATCATCCAAGCATATCAGTCCTTGTCAGTCTTTTGGGATGTGTCCTCCGGACAATGTGGAAAACTAGAAGCCCAACAATTTGTCAAGTTCTCGGTAGTTGTGCTATAGTGAACTTAGGGTTCATGTGAGAACTGTTCAATAGTGTATACCCTGCACAATAGAACGGGTATGAACTTGGGAAATTTCAGCAAATTGAAGATCCTTTGAACTGCAGTCGAATTGGGCATGTTTGCTGGTAAGCCATCTAAATGACGCCCCAATGCTCCACATCCATTGGTCCATCTGAGAAGGTGTAACTAGGCCCCAAAAACCACCCCCAAATTTTCACCAGTCTCGGTGGCGCCCTAGAGATGGTCAAAGTGTCAAAGCGCACCAGAGAGAAATCATGAAAAAGCAGAAACACCGGCACTTGCAGTTTGTTTTGTTCATTATTTTCAACTTCAAGGACTGCAGCTGATGGCAATTCGCTACAACTGTTGGGCAATTTGCCCTGCCAGGTGTCCAGATCGCAGTGGGCACTGCCGGACCTCAACTGCGAGTAGATGTGACACAGAATGTCAGAAAGCATGTCAGAATAGATGCCAGGTAGAATGCGAGAACATATGTCAGATAGAATGCCAGATAAAATGTCAGAGTATATGTCCGATAGAATGCCAGGTAGAATGTAAAAATACAATCTCTGCATAAAATGCTGAATAAATTCCAGCAATGAACAAAACAAAGAAATCCCACTTCAGGTATATCCGTTTCAATTCTACAATTCTACCTGACCAAGTTATCATTATAAGCTATCCTGACGAGTTTCGATTGTAACCACGTTAGTTTCAATTACCCTCTGGTATACTTACATAGCTCTGGACAACCCCCATCTTTAAAAGGTAAATCAACTATATAAATATATACATGGGCCATGTTCCGTAGCTATGTGAAATTACTAGAGGGTATCTGGTTGGTGGTTTGGAACATTTGGATTATTTTCCATATATTGGGAATAATAATCCCAACTGACTTTCATATTTTTCAGAGGGGTTGAAACCACTAACCAGGTATAACTTTGTCATAATCAGTCCTGACATTTGACTTCCAGGCACGTTTGGCGTTGCAGTTGCCAGAGCTTTTACTGGGTCCATTGAAGCAGTTGGATTTGGAAACGAAGCTGGGCACAAGAATTGCTTGAAACATGAGCTGTTGCTTAATGGTTTAATAATGATGCTTAACAAATGAGATACTCATATTTACAGTTATTTGCATGTTATCATAATCGCCAACAATGACTTAATAAATAGTCATAAGTATGAGAGATAGTTATATTTATAATTGTTTACGCGTTATCATAATCGCCAACAATGAGTTAATAAAGAGTAGCCACTGAGTAAACGTGGGAGAAGGCTGGGTGAAACACGTTTTTGACCGGCAAGTACTGGAATTTTAGTAGGTTGCACATCGCAGATGGCTTAACAAGGCATACAAACATGAATAAACTGGAAATCAACCACCAATGATGCAGGGTATGCAGAGGGTAAACCTTGATGAAGGTTTGGTGGAGGGAAGCCAGCTCTTTTCTGTATATATATATATACACGGCAAATGCCTGGGTTTTGCCCGGACCCGCAATGACGATGTGCGACGCATCATCATCATCATCATCATCCACATCAACATCAACATCATGATCATCAACATAATCATCATCATCAACATCATCAAACCCTTATTGACGATCTTCAATGAATGTAGAAGTTTAACGGGGGTGGGAGAATTAAACCCTTGTTGAAGATCTTCAATGAATGTAGAAATTTAACGGGGATGGGAGAATTAAACCCTTATTGAAGATCTTCAATGAATGTAGAAGTTTAAAGGGAGTGGGAGAATTCAACCCTTATTGAAGATCTTCAATGAATGTAGAAGTTTAACGGGGGTGGGAGAATTAAACCCTTATTGAAGATCTTCAATGAATGTAGAAGTTTAACGGGGCTCGGAGTTTAATATTCCCTAATATCTTTGTTGATCTTCCCAGTTGGATGTAAAGTTTAACGGGGGTGGGAGTTTAATATTCCCTAATACCGTTTTTGTTTTTCCCATAGGAATTTCGGGTGGTTTGACATTTTTTTATATAGTCTCTAGTACCTTTGCTGTTTTCCCCATAGGAATTTAAGGTTTAACGGGGGTGGGAGTTTAATATTCCCCAATATCTTTGTTGATCTTCCTAATTGAATTTTAAGTTTCACGATTTGAGAGTTTAAAATTTCCTAGTACCTTTGTTGTTTTTCCCATTGGAATCTCAAAGGTTATGCCGTTTTTGTTTTTCCCATAGGAATTTCGGGTGTTTTGACCTTGTTTGTTTGATAGTCCCTAGTACCTTTGTTATTTTTCCCATAGGAATTACGGTAATTTGCAACATCATTTGTTTGTGAATGGGAAACCTCTACGCTGCAACCCAGGCGTTGCGCGTATATATATATATATATTCATACAATATAGATATGATCATAGATATTGTATATCAGTATCATATTTATTTTGGTGGTTGGAGGGTCCTTCCATGAAAGAGAAGTGGTGCCCTCCGGGCCCTCCAAAAAAAATTGCTGTTCCTGGTCGCTGTTCCTGGTGTTCACAGCTGTTTCAACGTGAATCTGGTTGGTGGTTTGGAACAGCCACGGGCTCAACACCTCCCAGCGGGTGTGGCTGGGCTGGCAAAGCGTTGAGCGTTTTGTTCCACATGTCTAGCCATGGATCCTTTCATGGAGATCGGTGCCACTGGCAGTGGTGGGTTTGTCCCTGTGGTGGTGGATGTTGAGGTGTTGGATCCTCTCCATGAGAGGCACCTTGTGCGGATCCTTCCCTCAGGTGCGCATGCTCATGTGCGTGGCTTGGTGGAAGGGATTTCTGCTCGACTGACGCTGATGGAAGCCGTGGTGGTCAAACAGTTCCCGATCCCGGAGATTGAAATTGGACCCGACACGGAGGTGATGTACCATACACGTCACTCTTGGGCTGATTTCTTCAAGCCGGTGGATGCATGCTCTGAGGTTGGAGGTGTCTCGCATGGAGCGTTGTCTGGTGGTGTGCACACAAAGGTGTCAGTGGATTGCAATGGGTGGACGTCCAACTTGCATACGGTTCAGTCCAGCAGTGTGACGGTGCCCGGTGATGTTGGCCATCCCCAGGTCATTTATGAGTTGTGGCGCCAGTCTGCCCATGCAGCCATGTTGTGTGCTGGATATGCGTACCAGCCAAACTCCCAGCTTGGAGATAGATGGGGAGCTATGGATCCTAGTGCTCAGTGCCTGCCGAGTGTCCTTCGAGCCGCATTGTTGTTCCAGGCAGTCAACCTTGATCTGCAGATGGTGTGGCCATGTCGCCGACACAGAGCGTGGTGGGTGATGTATGTCCCCAGCTTGGGTAACATTGACTTTGCTGAATGGTTGCCTATGGGAGAAGTGTTAAGGATTCATTGTCTCATCCCCCACATCTGTGGGTGGGACACCAGAGATGAGCGTGCTCTTCAGCAGGACCAACGAGAATGTCAGACGACTGGAGTGGAGGATGGCACATATCCTATGCACATGATGGCCGCCAATGGTATTGGCCCCACTGCTTTGCAGGAGGGGAAGTTCCAGGATGTCAGTGCACACCTGACCCAACAGGTGTCGAACTTCAGGTCTCAGATCCAGGCACAGTCCCAGCAGTTACCTGGCCAGATTGAATCCAAGAACCAGAGCATCCAGGCCGAGTTTGAAAGCCAGTTGTCGCATATCCGTGGTCTTTTGTCCCGAAGGTCACGGGAGGATGGTGAGTGATGGTATGGGCAGTGGTCCGACACACCAGTGTGCACGTGTGTCGTGCGTTGCTTTGGCAGCTTGCTGGTCGGGACCCTGATGCCCGTTTTACAGTTTTGTTGTATGGGGTGCAGCCACAGTGAAGCATGTGTGGGCATCGAGCCCACAGCCTGGGCCTTTGGTGGTGCCGCTTCTTGCTTTCAGTGTGTTTCGGGTTGAGGGGTCTCTCACCCTGGCCCTGCTGCGTATGAAGACACTTTTGTTTTGGGGAGTGCTAACCCACATGGGTTGCGTTGCCGCAATTGGTAGGTGTCCACAGCCAAGGCGCTGGTTTCGATGACCAAACCAGCGTGCAGAGCAAAGAGGTACAAAAAAGTGGTGGTTTGGAACATTTGGATCATCTTTCCATATATTGGGCATTTCATCATCCCAACTGACGAAATCATATTTTTCAGAGGGGTAGGTTGAAACCACCAACCAGGAATAGCTTGCCATTTATAGTGAGCTTATGGCCTCTTCTACAAATCGAAGTTTGCTTCAGATGATCTTCAAGAAAGGCTACGCGGCTAGGACTAGTAGGGTGGTACATCACTTGGAAACAACAGTGGATGGTTTGAGAAAAGGACTAGCCTCTGGTAATTTCACGCTCAATTTAACATAGCTTCATAGCTATAGATGGATAGATGGTTTATCTAGCAAACATGGTGATTTTCCATCATGTGTCAATGAGGATTGGCGGGGTGGTGAGCGCCCTCCCAAGCCCTGCAGAGCAGGTTTCGTTTCAGGAGCAGGCGCTGTTGGAAGATGGTCTTCGCCGGGGCGTGAAGATAGGTGGTGCATAGGTTCAGCTGCAATCCACATTCAAATTGCTTTATGACCGAAAACTTCTGAAAAATCAAGTCTGATCCATGTTCCTAGATTTCTGAGAATCCACATTTCCAGTCACTGGATTCTTTTCAAGGGACCATTTTAACTGGAAACCCCTTTAATGAATGGTAAAAACCCATGGTTTCCAGCGGATTCTCCAAGCAATCCATTGATCCGTTCGCGGGTTCGCAGGACCAGGCGGACGTCTTCAGCTTCGCCCACGGAGCGTCCCTTGGGAGGGACCCACCAGTTATGGCCCAACTGACCGTGTTTTTTTTTGGATCATTTCATGAAAGACACCCTTAGTTATAGGAGTTTGTTCATTCCATTTATAATATGTTATAACTGTTAGTTGGGCCATAACTGTGGTTGATGATTATAATAGTGTGTTTTTGTTGTTTTCTAGGAGGGTTTAAGCATCAAAATATGGGGATAGACGATGATATCATTGCTAAACATTGATACATGATAGTTGATTGATGATTTGTTGGGGGATTATATTCACCAATGTGTTATATATATATCGGAATATCACGATCCATGACTGGGCACTCCCGTTCTCCAAAAAAGAAGTACAAAGGTACGACACAGCGTTTTGAACACTGCTCATCTATATAGATGTTCATGGTGTTTGACCCGGGGTTTGACTACCTGTTGGTTTTCCAACATGACCATATTGATGATGAACCATTCAGTCATTCATCGATGATGTATTCGTATAATTACTTGTTTACCTATAATATATCAGACGATGTCGCTGGTTGATCCAGCAGACAGCACATAAACAATCATAAACGACGGCATAGCCATGACGACCAAATGCAACCCACTGTTCTTACTATGGTTAAGAGTAATTATAGATCATTCCACCCCCCTACCCTACCTGGTTGGTGGATTGGAACATTTTTAATGTTTCCTTATATTCAGAATAATAATCCCAACTGACATTCATATTTTTCAGAGGGGTAGGTAATACCACCAACCAGGTATCCATTAAAATTCCCATTAGATCCTATAAAACCACCATTAAAAATCCCATTCAACCACCATTAAATGCCATTAAACCACCATAAGACTGTTCACGGCCATCGCCAGCCCCAACTGCAGAGGCGGAACTTGTCCTGTTGCCGCTATGCTTTGGCAAGGTGGACCTCGTGAAAACGGGGGACCGTCCTAGTTTTGGGGTGAGAATTGTTAAACCAGACCAGTTTGAAACATTCAAATATATATATATATATACATACAACTATTATATATTTAAATATAACTACTTATAATTATATATAATTACTTATAATTATATATAATTACTTATTATATATAATTACTTATAATTACATATATATATATACAATTATTCAATTATAATTGTATATATATATATGTATATCTCTATTTGTTCAAATGGTTTCCACGAATGTTGTTGAACATTGGTGTTGAATTTCACGATGGATTTCAAGGCCCAGAGGATCACCGTTGGTCACCGTTGTCTGGCCGAGTTGGTCGGGCAAGTTGGCCAGAAATGGGGGGTTCCAGAAATGGGGATATACCAAATTGGATGGTTTATAATGGAAAAAAACATTTATATGATGGAAAAACCCATAAAAAATGTTTTTTTAAATGGAACATCCCATAAACAAATGGATGATTCAGGAATTTTGGTAGATCTATCTATCATGTTGCTGAAAAAAAAACTTATAACTGGAGGACATCGTATTGTACTCATTGGAGCAGTGCCACACCTGATTTTTCAACCATGGAGTCGACCTGTCAAAAAGACTTTAGGCTGTGCTTCTGGGGACCTTAATCGTCCATTTCAGAAATTCACAAGGTGGTGCCCCATAGTTAGCTAAGTTGGTTTATAAGTCCAATAACTAGGGTTTATGGGGGTTATATCTATAGTTAATGGGGCTTATAAACCAACTAACATAACTGGGGGGGCACCACCTTGCAATAATTCCGCATCAATTGTTGACACGGTCTTTCAATGAACAAAATACATCAAAATACAAGAAACTCCTCATTTTTCTCGTGAAAAGGTGTCCTTTTTGTTTTTTTCCCTTCACCTACGCCATGGCCGCCATGGTCATAGTTGGGTAGTCCTCACCTCATCACCAGGGCGGTTCTGCGGGCCGTGGGCTCTGCCAGTGTTGCGAGGTTCGTGGAAACTCCGCGTACGCGTCGGGCGTGGTGGACGAAAAACTCTGGCTATTGTGGTTCCCAATCATCATCCGGAACTCATCCCAACTGCGAGAGTGATATTTTATGATGTTCGTTTTTTTTGTGCAAAACCATGCGTAAAGTAAAGGAAGACTAGCCTCACTTAGTGTTTCCGAATCGTTCTATGATTTTTAGCAAACTGTGCATGTGTTTGTGAAAAATAGGTGAGCCCTCGAAGGCTCCTAACATTTCCAAACGTACTTTTGTTGCTGACCTACTCAACTTGTGAAAGCTTTCAGGGTTTCCATGTAAAAATTGTTCAGTCTGGCAGTCTGGCATGTCGGAGATCACTCATCTCATACAGCACGTTCTAGTTGAGAAATTTTTGGTAGATCAACAATTTTCGGGTGAAATACCAAATTTGGCCATATGCATGATGAAACTCAACTCTCCCGGGTGCGTACAGTGAAAGACAAAATTATACCCACCGGTCTCCCTACAATGTGGTCTCCCCAGCAAACTAGTTCGATATATCGGATATATCTACCATAAACCCAATCGTTAACCTACTTATCAACCAACTCAGCTATTAACCTAGGGCACCGTTGAAATAATCGTCAACTCCCTATTGTTAATCTGTTAATGGTTGAAGCTTTATTATACCTACCTATGAATATCTGCAAGGTATTATTGTACCCTATGGATCCACATACTTCCTCAGAAGATACTTGGATCCATGGGGATAAAACCAACCATTTTGGATCATTTTGGCTGATTTCAAATAGGAATGCTGTCGCTTCTGCACATGTGTTGCGAAGGTTGGAAGGGCGCTTTCAAGCTGCGCTGTTGGACATGTCTGGGCAGCTCATTTACTGGATGGATTTCCGCTTGGCTGGACAATGTTTAACACCATCTGTGTATAGGCTACATATAGATAGTGTGTATGTTTTTTTTGTATATACAATTAGTTTACCCACATGTTTTTGTGTTTCAATAATCAGCATTGATAACTAGTATTTGCATGCATAACATGTTTAACACACATACTCATTTGGATCAAGTAGATTCCCACACGCATATCATATAACATCCATCATCCACTATTCAGACAACATATATCCATTGCATATATCATATGAATACATCCCCCAAATGTGCTCCATCATGCTGTTTTTTTTCCTCGTTTTTTTGGATTACGGTTTAAGATGCAACTTATTCCAGGATTGGTTCAACGGATTTCAGCATGAGTTTCAGTGAAGGCGTTTGGATCCGGGCCACAGGGCACCACAGGGCATACTGTCTCAAAGAACTTTACCCTCTGGTTATAACTAACATAGCCATGGAAAATGGTTGATTTTCCCAGCTAGAAACATCCATTTATGGTTGGGGTTTTCCATGGCTATGTTAAATAATCAGATGGTATATAAAATGGTCGCAAACCAGACCCAATCCCCGAGTTTTTGTGTGTGGATTAATTACTCTCAACAACTTCAGTTTTTGGTGAGCTACATTGGATACATATATATATATATATAAACTACAGTTGTTTGGTGAGCTACAGTGATTTACACGTAATTTGTATTATTACCCTTTTTAAACATAGAAATTATTTGTCAGTAGCATATTCCATATAGAAATTGCTATATTATACTCTATATATATATATACGAAATATATTATACTATATATATACATACATGCAGATTATAGTATCTATATTATATTATGTACACATCCCATAGAAAAATCCCCAAACCCTCATGTCATTTGTCAAAAACGCTAAGCGAGGCTTCAGGGCCGCGAGCCCAATGAGTCCATCTTGCGCCAGGTTGGAAGGGAAGCTATACGTCGACAGAGGGTATACCCTCCGGTAAACATACAAAAAGCTATGGAAAACCACCATGTTTAATGGGAAAACTCATTATTTCTATGGAATTACCAGAGGGTATATCGAATATTGGATTGGTTTAGGGGAACAATTACAGGACACCAAGGTTTTTACCATTAAATAGAGGGTTTTCCTGTAAAATTTACCCGTAAAACCAATCCAGTGAATAGAATATGATCCCTTGAAATATGAAAATTATAGATAACCAATAGAAGAAATATATCTATATCAGAGGTAAATTGATATATGATCAAAAAATGATACATAATAATACATTCTATAGACAATCAATACCTTTGATGATAATTATGATAGCTTTGTATCATAATTATCATAGAATATGAAAATCAAGTGTTGGCCAAATGGTGGTTTCCTAAGTCATGGGTCATGGGGGTACCCAATAGCTGGATGCTTTTGTTCAGGGAAAATCCATCTAGAATAATGGATGATAACTGCGGGGTATCCCCGTTTATGGAACCACCCTTTTTGTATATAAATGGGCAGCTATAAATGTTATAAAACCAGATAAGGTGCCAAGATCTGGTAAAGCAGATGAAATGAAATGAAACGAAATGAAATGTTCTGAAATGACATGAAGAATCCTATGGGTCCAAAATTTCAGGATCTCATGTTCCAACATGGCTTCAGTTTTGATTGGATGAGTTTAGTGTTTTTTGTTTGAAAGTTGGTTGAAAACCTATGTTGTGAAACTTATTGACTTTGTTTTAAGTTTTTGAGGACTGGTAAATGATTCAATCATATTTAAACCGCCTTTGCTGTTTGAGTGGGGTACCATTTAAGTACGAGAGACTTGCTACCACCAGGTGACATTCTGTTTGAAGATGAATGAAGACAAATACAGTACTCGCATGATTCACGACAACCTCAAACGACCTCGCCACAAAGCAATGACTATCCTGAGAAAATAAAACACATCAGCAAGGCATCAATTTGTTTAGGATTGATCATAGACTGGTTGGTGGTTTCAAACATTTTTCCATTTCATATATGGAAAATTATCCTTCCCATACTCATATTTTTCAGAGGGTTGGTCAATCACCAACCAGTAGAATTTCCAAACAGTTTTTTGGACATGGATGGTAACCAGCCAACCGACGCCGGCTGCGAAAGGCCGTCAGAAAGTTGCTTCCAATGTCAGAGGCCGGCTGAACTGGAGGCATTTTCTGAATTTTGAAAGGTGGTGTGTTGATTCATACATTTTTTAACCGAGGTTTCCTAAAATAGGGGTACCCCAAATGGAGGATTTACAGTGGAAAATCCTGTTCTGAAACGGATGATTGGGGGTAATCGTATTTTAGGACACCTCCAAATTGTGGTTTGGGAAAGACCCTGACACTGAAAGAATCGATACATTAGGCAGAAAAGCTTGAACACAAACAACCCACCGGGTCAGGAACTGAACGTGTAGTCGTTGCGATTTTATGAACTCATATGAACTCATCAGCTTGGAGAAACGTGGTATTTACAGTGTTTTTGACAGCTTGACAAGGACAACATGCACATGATTCTCATGTGTTTTGGATTCTGACTGTGTTTTGTCAGGATTTGTTCATGTTGGGGGGTCCGCAAAAAGGAGTCATTTGTTTGGAAAATGCTATTTTACCTCAGTTCTGTGACATTTGAACTCGCGATTGAGTTCCTTTGGTCGAATCTCCACTGCCTGTGTTCTCTGAAAAAGCACCATGTTTTTCATGTTTTGGTGGCCAAAAACGAACTATTGTTTCGCAACATGCTATTTTACCTCCATTATTTGACGTTTGATCTCGTGCGAATTTCTTTGTCCTTCTTCACCTGAGTTCGTTTCCAGCAGCCACAAAAAGGTTAATGACATGAGAGTGCGTGAATCTCCATTGCCAAGCACGAATAAAGTTTCAATTTGGGGTGACTTGGAGCTGAGTGCAGGGATATTATGTTTCATATGAACCCAGGCACTGCCAGTAGCATCGCATCAAGAGTGTGTCGGAAGTTGAGAAATTCCACAGCGTAGCAAGAGCAAAGAAGGGGTTCTTTAACCTAACAACGCCCTCAATTTGCTCTTGCGGTTTGTGTAGGCCGCAGCTTTTTTTTTTGAAGCTGTACACCCCGCAGCTGGCCATTCCCGTCCAACGCAACTTTTTTTTTTGGGTACAGCTTATCATATCTCATCCGAGAATTGTAAGATAGACACCTCCTAAATGAATCTAAATGAAACATGGGAACTCAAACACGGTAATGTCCAAGGCATCATTTTCCAGACCACCATTCTTTTGGGTTCTATGGTAGCGCAAACCAAATGTAGAAGAGATCCACGTTTAAACTGTAGCTGTTGACCCTTGTGGAATGGAATGAGAAGCAACCCCTCTTGGGCGCCCGCACAACTCTCATTCGCAGGTTTCCACCGAGTCTTCTGGGTGGCTGCATCCTGCATTGGCCAAAAAAACGAGCGCGTTGCCACAGTCGTCAACACTTTGGTTCGTCTAGAAATGCGGATTTATTTAACGATCAAACATGACTGGAAATGAAGATTTAACATGATTTAACTATCAACAACTGCTGGAAATAGGGATTTAACCATCAAACATGGGAGGATCAACCAGCAATAATTGTGAATATACACGGAAAGTATCCAGCAAGAAAAATTGTTGGGTTTGTCCAGAAATTGAGGATGACCGAAAACCTAAAGAGATCTAAAAAATGTGGTATATGTTTTAATTTAGTGGGGACATGATGACAAACGCTGAATTTTGGGTCAGATGTGTGTAGCAGGCAAAAATATGGCACTAAAAAGAGACATCGTATTTGTTTCTCTTGGTATAGTTTTTGCGGTATCCCACGTTTAGCCCAGATCTATGCGTGGCTTTCTATTAGTATGTCTTGTGTTTCAATGACGGATAGCTTATATGTGTTTCTATAAGTATGAATAGATGGTGCGATCCGAGCACATTCGGTGAAGTTCCGAAAATCTATTTTGGAAGTGTTGGCCCGGTTTCCCTCTAACATGTAGCACGAAAACGAGGAAAAATGTACTTTCAGATTTCAACCTTTGAATGCCTCAAGCGTAGATTTTTTCTCTGCCTTCGGTGGAAGCTCCTTGTGAGATTTGTGGCAGCCAAATCCCAAAATCTGGGATGAGCTTCAGTAACGGCTGATTTCAAGCCAACCGGAAGCCCGGAAAATCCCAATGATTCATAGGGATTATCACTCTTCTGTTCAGTAAAATGGTTTAGACTTTCAGGGCAGAATTAATAGGGCTTGGTACATGTTCCGTTTTGCAGATTTTTCGCACATCACCCAAAATAAAAGTATCGAGAGAAAAACATATCCCTCGTTGGGTGTGAAGTAACATAGGACATCTCGCAATCAACTGGTGCACCATGGGTCATCAAGATGCACAATCTTGGGACTGTAGCATCAAGTTAATGGGGACTGAAGAGAATGCCTTCCCAACATGTCAGTTCACAATATTGAATTCATATGGGTTCATGTGATTGGGGGGTTTCAATTCATGCTGTTGAGTAGTATTCAATTTGACTAGTATTCAAGATTATTCTAAACCCAAGTCACCAAACTAAGATGAACCATTGATTCATTACTATTGAATATTAATTCAACAAATATGATTCACTAGAAATTCAGCTCACCCAAGTTGGGAGTAGCTGCACCATTCTCCGAGGCCACCCTGAAACTCCCACGGTTTTGGCTCGAAATTTGCCCCGGTGGTCATCTGGCGCCCAACGTCAAAAAGGATTCCTTTTTAGATTCTCGGCATCAAAAGATCGAACAGATTGAGAAGGATGAGAAGGATCTCCCTACTTGGTGCTTGAACCCAGCTATAGTTTTTTTGGTCATACAACCCAGTTGGTAACTGGTTAATCCGATTTCCCAGAACACCCCCATTCTATGGTCCCAGTCAGATGTGTTTTCATCCCCTTCATCCACCATGCTTTCTGGGGTAGTGTTTAACATTGGAGGGAAAGGGATTGACCATCGTGAACATACATTTATAGAATTTTATAGACTTATTTGGTTGGTGGTTTGGAACATGTGGATTATTTTTCCATTCAGTTGGGAATGTCATGATCCCAACTGATTGACCATCAACCAGTTTTAGATGTTTATAGATTGGCTAAGCCACGGATGATCCTCCAAGCAGCAATCACATATCTATTTTTCGTTGGGGATTCGTCAGGGTGAGAACTGGAAAAGCGGTGATAAGATTCACCGGAAGCCAATTGTTATATTATATAAATTACCCTCGGGTAAACGGGCTAACATAACGAACCGGAAAGATTCACCATTTTTAATGGGTAAATCCACTATGAATGGTCATTTCAATAGCTATGTTAGAATACCAGAGAGTATAATTAATATAATATATATATAATGAACGCAAAATCCGTGATTTCTGTTTAGGTTTTTTGTTGCCCTAGATTCAAGCGGGAGATGCGGGATTTAATCTGACAATTCATCACATGCGGAATGTTGATGTGTGTTGACTTGGAATCGAAGATTCCTGTCCTCAACTTCATTATTTCATTCAACTTCCATTCTGAGTTCCTAAACATATATATACACCCAAAATATGAGTATGAAATAGTCTGAGCAAGTGAGAGGACTACCATCCCGCCAGCTCGGTGTTGGTCGGAGATCCTGAATCATAGGCTTTCCGGAGTTCCCCTGCCCCTGACCCGTTGACCTTGAGTTTTGGTATGTTTGTCCTTGTTTCCTGTCTGGTATATACTTCTGCAGATTTGTTTTTAGGGTCAGGACTAGTTCATGGGTGAACATTAACCCACAAACATAACTGCATTGGGGGGTACCACCTTGTACTGTAACACTCAATTTGTTGGGATATTCTCGTACGTGACTTTGACCTATTTTGACATCTGTTGACCCATAGCCTCAGAACTCAGAACTTCGGATCGTGCCGTAGCTGAGGATTTGAAAACTGAAGTTTAGACAGCCGTACACTCAGATTCGCAATGCTTCATCTAGCACTGGGTGTAGTTTGTGTAGTTCTATAATGTTCTATATTTGCAGTTTCATAGAAAGCAGATATTTTGCCAAGATGTTGTAACACTATACAAGGTGCTGTCTCGCAGTAACAATTTTAATACAAGTGAAGTTGGTTTATAAATCCCATGAATGCTAGATACATCTAGCATCTACCCTCTGGTAAACAAACATAGCTATTGAAAATGGCCATTTATAGTGAGTTTTCCCATGCACAATTGTGATTTTCCATAGTTATGTAAACGTTTACCCAGAGGGTACCATGAATCCTAGCCTACTGATGAGCCAACTGAGCAAACTGGGGCACCACCTCCGGCAGTCATCACTGGCGGTTTGTAGGTGGTATACTGACATGTGTCGAGCTGTTCAGACCGGTGAAGTAGTATAGATTATCCAGAAATATGCAGAACCTGATTTACTCTGCAAATGGGCTGACCTGCAGTAAACTTGTTAATTGGTACCATGTTTGAGCCAGACCCGTGTTTTGATATTCTGCATGGTTAACGGTTCCATTTTGATCGCTCAAACTTGATGTGCATGGATGTATATGTGCATATGAACAGTTGCATAACATGAAAAAAATGCACTGATAAATGCAAACTTGTAACTTGACTGTACATTTATACAGCACTTGTTTTATCTTGTTTTTCCTCTCCGTGAAAAGTTGGGTTTGACATAGTTTGACTTGCAATTCTGCATTCAAGCTAGCTTTCATCCCAATGTACAGAGCTTCCATACCAGGTTTTGCCCCAGGCCGGAATCTCTAAAACTCCCAGGTGGTCCAACAGGCTGTGGACGAAAAAGCGCGAAGAATTTCGTTCTTCCAAGGCTTGAACAAATGGGGTATGCCCCCCCCCCCTCCGCCCGCATGTTCTTGTTCATTTTTTTGGGGGTCCTCAAACCATCTAAATGACTCAACACTATGCATATGTTTTTTTTCTAGGAAGGAAGCGCCATGTTTTTTCATTATGTTTGATGGGTCTCACAGTTGTCTAATACACAGAACGCCAGATCATCTCTATGGTGACCACATGTTGTTTCAAAGAGCCTGCAATGCCCTCGATGTTTTTCTCAAGGTAAATGAAAGTTCAATATGTTAGCCATATAAGTTCTATATCTTCAAAGTGTGGTTATTTGTTTTCACATATTGACCGGCACCATGTTTTAGTGCCTTTTTAAAAAATGGCAAGTTCAGTTGATGTTGAAGGTCCATGAATCATGACATGGGGATGTTTGATTTCAGCATGTCGCAGGCCCAATTTCAGGAGCTGTCGCAGCTGTCGCAGCTTGCGCGCGGGTGAAGGAGTGACGGCATGGGATTTGGAGCTCCCCAGGGACCGACTTTTGATGAATGGACATTCATTGCATTGTTTTCAACGGGATTCATTTGTGTTCTATCCAGTGGTTAGGAGGGAGCTAAGGAGCTAGGGAGCTAGGGGTATTCATATTCCCTATATATTCCCTATTCAATGGGGAGCCAAGGAGCTACTTAGAGTTTCCCAACCATCCAATAGTGTATTACAGTAACTATAAAGAAGCATTGTAGAAATAGTTGGATGTAATTGGCTTTGATGACAGGAAAAATTGTCAGTGGCTCTCATTTTAGGTTGGACGAAGATCCGGAGTAGTCCAAAAAGATCTCAACTATAGTCATTGTAGGCAAAACAATTGGCATGTGTTCAAATGGGGGTTTCCATAAATGGAGATACCCAATAGCTGGATGGTTTCTAAGTTATAAGGGAAAACCCCTATGACTATAGGAAACCCCGAAATGATGAAAAAATCTTGGAGAGTTTCTGATTTCCCAGTGCGCGAAGATCTCTTGGGGCCCTTGGGTATCGTAGATGGGCATGGACAATGCTTGGATGATGCATTGATCCCTGGGACTGCGATGTGTCTTTCGATGGGACTAATGAGGAATTGGGGGTACCAAATTTTCAGACAACGCCTAAGATATTGTTCCCAATTCGAGAGGACTCAAAGTATTTCAGAAGCACCGTGAAGAAGTCGTGAAGAAGTCAAGACGCCTGGCGAAGAGAAACATTTGTCGGTGGCCTCAGCTATGACGGGTGAAGACTTCTTGTAATCCTCTTCTGCGTCTATGCCAGACTTGTTTCTTAGCCACACTTTCAGGGTGGTTCACTGAGTAGTTTAACCATGTTTAACCTGCATTTGGATACACCCAAAGGTTACATCAGTTACATCCCAATACTGGACGCTAATTTTTCGTGGTTGTTATTTGTTATTTGTTTCAGAAGTTCTTGATGAATAGTTGGTGGGTCACCTTTTTTTCACCAGATTCACCTGGGCACGGAGGGGGTGGTTTCTTGATTTTCTTGGTCAGAACCATGGTTTCCTGCAAGAATACCTTCAATTCAGTCAACATATCCTGGTTGGTGCTTTGGAACATGAATGGATTATTTTCCCCAATAACTGGGATGATGATCCAATCTGACGAACTCCATCATTTTTAAGAGGGATAGGTATACCACCAACTAGTATCATGATGATGCCACAATTGAAGGATATCATTTTTTGCAGAATGTGTCAATCTGTGGGCCCGCAAGCCAGAAGAATTTTCAATGCAACATTGCTGGACTCCTGGTGGAGTCTCTGAGTGACCCGGAATTTTGATGGACTTGACTGCAAGTTGGCAGATTCTAAGGTAGAAGGTGTGAGGATCATTGAAGTTGTACGTTCCAAGTCTCCTTTTGCGTTCCTGGGCTCATGGCTCATTTGGGAGATGTGCTGGTTCCGTTCAGAACGGGGAAGTTGGTGAACCAATCCTGGCGAAGCCGTTTTTAGCCACCAGTTGGATCGTCAAGTGAACCAAGTTCACCCTCGAGGAATTGACTTGAAGATTTTGGATCCACCATGATTGATTATATAATATACAGTATAGATTGCTGTTCTGTATGGTAGCAACCGAATTCTTCACAACCTTGTTTGAGGGTGTTACAACAGCAGTTCTCGTACGGACTGCTGTATCTCTATGTTTGTTATTGGACCTCCATGTCAACAGGGGCCAGTGTTTGAATCTAATGTTTTGAAGATCCCTCACCAAAAAGACGTGTCAGCACATGAAAACTTCGATCTCAATCTCAGCTATGCTATGCAGTTGGTGGCTTATCATGCGTTTTATGTTCATCTCAGCGGATGAAGTGATGTTCCCCATTTCTATTTACTAGTTTGCAGAGGATTGAAAGCACTAGCGAAAAAGAAGAGAACATGCAATGCGGTATACCCAATGCTACAAACATACCATTTGGGACGGTTTATTAAAACCATTCCCACATTTTGCTACATATCTCTGGTGAGTCATTCAGAGTGATTGAGGGTCTACCAAACTATCTAAGTTCATCTAAATTCCCTTCTTTGTTGCTCAGGCATCATTTTTATTTGGGAACCAATTTTGATGGTTAATTTAATTTATCCCCGTATTCTCCCATGCTTTCCCATGTCTCCTGTTAAAATCATGTAACATCCCAAGTGTTGCTTATGAAAGCAATTTAAATCAGATGAAATCATGTTAAATCCATCATTTTCCCATGTTTCCCCGGTGAAATTTCTTTTGGTTTACCCTCTGGTAAACTAACATAGCTATGGAAAATCACAATTTTTAATGGGAAAATTCACGATTTCAATAGCTATGTTTGTTTACCAGAGGGTATTGGTTTCGATGCCTTTCCGCTTGTCCGAGCCACTGAACTCCGAGTGGCGGTGTTTCACGCAGGTGGCCATCGCCCGCAATGTTGACTGCGGCGGTTCAGGTGGGGAAGCGGGGGGAACCCTTGAGGTGCATCTGCCATGGTTGGATTTTCGTTGAGTGAAAAACATGTGGGAACCATCAAACAAACCTTTTCTTAATATATATATATATGATATAATATATATATGATAATATATATAATTATATATAATATAATATATATATAATATAATAGAATATTATAAATATATAATATACAATATATATAATATATTGCATATTATATAATATATATATATAATATATGATATATATATATATATTAATATTATATATAATATATAATATATATATAATATATATATATGATAATATATATAATTATATATAATATATATTATATATATAATATAATATAATATTATAAATATATAATATACAATATATATAATATATTGCATATTATATAAAATATATATAATATATGATATATATATATATATTATTATATATAATATATATAATATATAATATATATAATATATAATATATATATATAATATATATAATATATAATATATATAATATATTATATATATAATAGTTTATTAATATAATATATATATAATATAATAATATATATATATATATTATATATAATATATATAAAATATATATAATTTAAGATATATATATTTAATATAATATATATATATATAATATATAATAATATATATATAATATATAGAATATATATAATATAATATATAATAATATATATATTATATAATATTTAATATAATCTATATATATATATATATATTTAATATAATATAATATTATAAATATAATATATATATAATATATATAGAATATATAGAATATATAGAATATATAGAATATATATAATATATATAATATATATAATATATATAATATATATAATATATGTAATATATATAATATATATAATACATATAATATATATAATATATATAATATATATAATATATATAATACATATAATATATATAATATATATAATATATAAATATAATATATTTAATGTATAAATATATATATATATATATTTAATATAATATAATATATATAATATATATATAATATAATATAATATATATATATATATAATATGTTTATAATACATAATATAAATATATATAATATATAATATATAATATATAATATATAAATACAATATAATATATATAATATATACATAGTATACAGAATATATCGTAAATATAGTCCCCCAAATGGCATTTAACAATCTGTATTAGTAATGATAGTTCCCAAAATGGCATTTGAGAATTCGTAATTATAGTCCCCCAACAATAATGATAGAGTTTGGAAGGTTTCCATGTGTTTCGTTATATTCTGTTGGATTTCTAGGACTAAAAAATGCGAAATTGACATGACTATGAAGCGAATGGGCTTCCTCGGATGCGATTCTTAATTTGAACGGTAAGAAAAGCTCTGCACAAAGCTGTGTAGAAACCTCTGTAGCTGTGTTTCGATAGCATGACACATTGCCTGGACTGCTCAGTTCTATAGTAGTCATCGCAGACATCATCACAAACGCCTCCTCAGCTTCTTGTGAATATAATCCAATAATATTAATGAATATACCATTAACTATTATCCATTCATATTCCATTATCCATTATCCAGTTATCCATTAAATGGGATGATTCAGAACTCCTATAACTAGTTGGTTGTATATCATGAAATAATTCCATTTATGTGTTACTTGGGCCATACGTGTCTAAATCCCATTATAGAGTATAAATCAACCTTATGAGAATATTGACTATAATGGTTGGGCCATAACTCCTTTATATTCATTGTTAGTTGTATATCCTCAATGAGTATGATTTATGATTGCTAGTTGGGCCATAGTTGTACTTATAATCCATTAATATCCACTAATATTAGTGGATATACCATTATACATTATCCAGTTATCCATTGATATTCCATTACCCCTTAATTATCCTATAATCCCATCCATTATCCAGTTCAATGGCCAAGGTACCTAAATTGGAGGTACCTACCATATATAAGGCCTATTATCATTTAGGCCTGTGTAAGGGGATATCCCAACAAAATATGGCCTAAAATATGGTAACGTACCTCCATTTTAGGATCCTGAATTTCCCATTGATACAATGAATGATGGACCAACCAAAATGGTGATACATGAAGATCAAGACCTCAAAAATAGGTGTCTAATCAAGGAATCAATCCAGTTGTCCATTAAGATTCCCATTAGATCCTATTAAACCACCATAATATCCCATTAAACCACCATTAAATGCCAGCCAAAACCACCATAAAATGGGAAAATCATCCCAACTGACTTGGGTTGAAACCACCAAACAGTTACAATGTGAGGCCCCCAAGATAGCTAAGTTGGTTTATAACTCCAATAACTATGGTTTATGGTAATTATAACTATAGTTACTAGGGCTTATAAACCAACTTATATCTTGGGGGCCTCACATTGTATCCATTAACGGAGTATGAATCCCCCCTGGCCCCAGATTTGCCCGTCCCAGGGCGATGGCGACCATGGCGACCGGCGCCTGCCCCGCGACTCGCCCTTCGTGGGTGCCTTGCGCCACGCACCGCAGGGAGAGGCGACGGCGCGGCCAGGGGGGCCACGGTGACAACACGGCAGCTGACAAAATGTGGATTTCACCAGCAAAAACGGTGAATTATGAAATATTTTGATTTTTTAGATACTTAGATATTGAATTAGATACTTAGAATTTAGATATCATATTTATGAGATATTTAGATAAATGGATTGAATGAGCTGAAATTGTGATTGAACAAAAGAACACATGGACATGACCATCAAATCATGGTGGATTAAATTGAGCCAGGAACCGTGGGAACTTGGGTTTTAAGTTTTAACCATCGAACATGAGAATTCAACCAACAAAGTCAATGGATATGAGATTCGCGAATAAGTAGGTTGACCAACCACAATGAATTAGCCAATTTTGGGTGGTATAGGCGATATAGGAGCTCGATCATACCTCATTTAGCTATAGTAAGTTCATGTTAACAAACTGAGGCAATCCAACTTCGTTCCTTTACATCTACTTGAATTCCGTGGTGCTTAGTTTTAGTCCCACCGTACAGTTGCTTACGCTCTAGTAAACTTCGTTGGTAAATATTCGACACACGATGAGTGTACAAAGCTCGTTGCGTCCATGAGGAGTTTCCAGCCCGTCCATTTGGCCAATCTCAAAGGCGCTATGATGACTATGCGGTGCCCAAAACTCGCCAAGTTCGCTATGCTGGAAGTTTTTTGTGAACATGATGCACCTGCTGGCGTGCATATAGCACCGAATGGGTGATCTATGGCGAGGATGATGGGATTGCTGGATTGCGGCTGGGAGTTGGCAGCTTGGTTTTGACTGGAAAAGGTCAACGAAGTTGCAGGAGAAATGCACCTCCCTTCCAGCATTAGCATTAGGTACATGTATCTGGATATAAACCACAACGACCTCACTAACCTCAAAACAACGATGGTTTACATTTGGGATATATAATATGGGTTATTGTCCCTTACTGGCCTTGTGTCATGTAGGTCATCAAAAATTATTCAGATGAATTGTCACGTCCCGAGTATATCCCTATGTTGAATTATATTAAGTTACTTAAATTTCAATATATTCATTGGCATTGATCTTATCCAAATATTACTCCATATATTTACATAAAGTCATATTTACCTAAATACATCAACGAATCTAGATGATTATATTCAACTCTAGGAAGACAAATCATGACATATCTACATCTTATAGGCGATGTATTTCCCCATGGGATGATTTTTCCCCATGCTCTTCCGCTGAGATCCTCCAGAGCCAATTAGATCGGCTCCTCCGGCGGCGAGCACCGGAAGCACCGCCTCCGGGAGGCGGCATCGCCGCGACGTTCAGGGCCAGTTGAAGAGTTGAAGAGGGAAAATATTGTGATTTCACCGGTAAAGAATATGGGTTTCATGGGATACATCATCAACTATGTCAATGTCCAATTTGGGTGAGTCTGAAAATGTGGGGTATATATTCCCTAATTGACCACTTTAACAGAAAAACATGTGACAATAATCAGTGGATTTAGGAATGCACTATATTTATCCAGATTTTAATCTCCTCGCAACCTGAAATGGTGATCTAAAATGGTCAAACATGCTGGCACCTTTTGCATTGAAGGTGTAGAATATATATATATATACATACTCTTTTGAACGTACCCAACTACGTACAGATGAAAATGTAGGTTCTTTCTTTTTAAACTAAAGTGACTTCTGACCGTTTGTCAAACCAAATTGTTGGGTAAAGTGGAAGATATTCTGGGGCGATCGAAGAGAGTTCAGGTTGAACCATCCCATGTTTGTAGTTAAGGACAATATTGTAGTAAACAAAATCGACAAAAAAACAAATCCGGAAAACCTGAGTGATTGTCGGGCTATACTCACTGATTTATTTCGACAGTCCCACTTGTTCTGGGTACTTGGGGGGTCTAGGTATATTATCTATCTATCCATCTAATCTAATCTTATCTTACCCTGTCTTTTCTTATTTTTTTGTCTCATTGACCTATCTGATCTGATCTATATATTTATATTAATTATCTATCTTATCTAGTTTATCTACCTTAATTATCTCATTAATCTTATCTATCTTCCCCGTGTCTCATGTTTCAGGCTCCCGGAGCCGAGGAGTCTTTTCGGAGGCCATTTTTTTGGGGGTTTGTTGGCGGCTTTAATCGTCGAACATGGTAAGAAATGGAGGAAAAAACATGGGGAATCAAGCATCATGAATTTGTTTCTATTGGTTGGATTTAACATGATTTAACCATCTAATATTATTAGGATTTAACGAAGAGATTCAATGGCCAGGGTCCAAAAGTTATGGAATTTCATGGATTTTTTGGTCAGGTCATCCCATTGGAATCGTCAGGAGCATGTCGACCTTTCTCGGGAGAGGCCCGGTGCAATGGGACGTGGGGATATCATGGAGCTATGTCTGGGTAAACTGTAGCCTCTGGTAAACATATTAATGGGATTATTAATGATGATTAATGGATGATTAATGGATATTAATGGGATTATTAATGATTATTAATGGATGCTTGATGGATATTAATGGGATTATTAATGGGATACCCGCTGGTAAACATTCACATAGCGAACTGGAAAATGGCCCAGTCGAAATAGTGGAGTTTCCCAGCTAGAAAATGGTGGATCTTTCCAGTTCGTTATGTAAACGGTTACCATTTCGGGTAACTTGAAAATCCATGTGCAGATTCCCAGGAAAACACATGGATATCATATGGATTTCATGCCAATTTTCCAGTTTGGGTATCCATCGACAGATACTGTTACAGTATGCAGTATTTGCGTGCAATCTGCATTGCATCCAAAATCAACGTCAACGATATTGGCACAGTGCAGGAAGAACGTTCATCAGATTATTGTTCGGTGTCCAAGGATCTAGATGATGGTGAATTCTTCTGAATTGTGAGGGAGAAGTGGTGCAATATACCAGCTTGTGAGCCAGAGTCTAAGTATTTGTATGTGTCACAGAAAAGGTCGGACGACATTCGCTGTGCAAGGGAAATTGGCAATGGCTGTTTTTTTTGTTGCTTTGAAAAGGGCCAGGATGCCTGGTTGACTCCAGGGCAAGAAGCAGGTTTGATCAGCCCCAGGATCACTCATGATGAAGGTTCACAGGTTTGACATAGCGCACCCATGAAATCGCCATAACTGAAGGTATATCCCATTTCCAGACACACCCATACATATATATATATATATAAATTGTATATATATATATATATATTATAATTTCATAGAATTTTGATGCCGTGACATTTGCGGAACACACATATGTTCCCACCTCTAATGCCTATAATCACACTTATTCAGAGCGGCCCTTGCCTCCCGCGCCAGTTCCAAAAAGCTTCCTTCCTCGTCTCCGTGGGAAAGCCCGGTTCGGTGTTTTCTGGTCTAAGGTGGGTCTAAGGTGAACCCACAGAGATCAGTATAGGGAAACCATCAGATGTGGACTCATTGGATGTCAGCTGCTCGAAGATTCGAGATGGTCCAAGTTGATTCGCCCGTTGCTGTTCTGCGATATCGATAGACTCTAGATGTGATGGGCGAAAATCGACCATTTTGAGAATCGTCATTTTTTCGCTGCTCATCCAGTAGCTGCTCTGAGTACAAAGTAGCTCTGAGTTAAACAATGAATTATTCCCTCCGCTCACATTGTCATATTATTGCTGTTTGAGAAGTGCCACAAAGAAATGTGGTCTGGTTTTACAAAGTATACGTGGCTGGTGAGTGGTCTGCTTTACTATTGGATTTACAGCATGAGTTTTCAACTTGAGGCCCTCGGGTAGACAGACTCCATGACCATAGTGAATCCCAACACCGCTGGGATTCATGTTCACGTTCAATGACGTGAACATCCCCGCAAAATATGCAAAACATCACCTAAGAATGGTGATTTTGTGTTCCATGTTGACTGCTAAATCCTCACGTTTTGGCCATGTTTTGTCGGTGATATAACTTTCTAGGAAGACCTAAGCGGTAGAAACCAGCCTTTCCTGTATGGATTCTCCCTTCATTCCATGGAATTTGAGTACCAGACCCCAAAAAAACATCGAATATGGCCATCCAACAAAAACAAATGGGGAGTATATATCTGAATCAACAATCATCCAGTATACAAGCAGTATGCTAAGCAGTATACAACCACTAAGGAAATAACACAGCCAGTATGGATCAGTATGGTAAATGCCATGGTAAATACAAGCAGTGTTGTATGGGAAAACATATCAACCAGTATGTTGAGGGATATAAACCTGAGGATTTTTTCAGAAAAAAGCTGAGGTACGTGGGCTTCCAACGCCATGCTCCGCCCTCGCCTTTGCTGTCCTTTGTGGTGCCTCGGTCGGTGATTTAATGACAAATAATGCGACGGTAATCTGGTTGGTGGTTTGGAACATGAATTTCATTTTTTCCATATATCCGGAATTATCATCCCAACTGACTTTCATATTTTTCAGAGGGGTTGAAACCATCAACCAGTTAATGGATATAAAGGGGATATATCTATAGAATCTGTCGTCTTTTGTTGGGGGAATTCCTCGATCAATGGAGGTTAATAGCTGGGAAAACCATCTAAACATGGATACTAATGGGATATTCATGGGGATATCATGTACAATGTGAGGCCCCCAAGATAGCTAAGTTGGTTTATAACTCCAATAACTATGGTTTATGGTATTTATAACATTTTATAACTATAGTTATTGGGGCGAATCTAAACCAACTTATATCTTGGGGGCCTCACATTGTATAATTTTGGATGAATTTGATTATGACCTCACGGGGAAGTTCCGTCACTGGAATGATGGTCAGGAGTTGAGGCATCATCCCCAAATGGCATTGTTTCAGCTACCCTTTGGTAAACGTTTACATACAATGTTAGTATGTAAATGTATAAACATATATGTATATATATTATATATATATATAATTCGTATATTAAATATATGCGTATATTAATATAATTGTTCAACATCCACGATGCACTTTTTGCATTATATTGTTTTTAAGTTGACTCCTCCCATCTCTTGGAGACCCGGGATCATCAGCAGTTTTGCGAACGTCTCCGGCTGCTGAGTAGGCCTGCTGTTTCTACCGAAAGTCCATTCAGAAGTAATTTACGAAAAGGTCCAAACAATAGCAATCAATAGCAATCAAGTTGTCTTACGAGTGCTAGTGAGTCCCAGTATGTCCCTGTTGCGTTGATGAATTCTATCACTGTGTTGTAACTTGGTGTCGATGCTTGGGGATCGATACTTGGGTAACTCCGATGTATTGATTTCTTTATGTTGCAAAATTACCCCAATTCATACTCAAACCAGTTGTCATTTGAATCCAAAAAATATAGTATACACATATGTCATGGTGAGATATGATACGATATATACAATATACAGTGTGTATGTGTATATATATATATGTAGAATTATATATATAGGTAGAATTATATATATGTAGACTTATATATATATATAACAATAATATTATGTAACATACAAGACAATATTAATCTATATATACAGACAATGTCGATTTGTATGCTTTCCCTGTCGCTGCTGAGGACAGCCGACTCTCCTGTGGAATCCTTGAACCTGGCGATGTTTTGGAAGGCCGAGATGGAGATCCAATCATCTTTGGTTGGTGCTTTGGAACATGAATGGATTATGACTTTCCATAGGAAAACCATAGAAAAACCATAGGAATAATCCATATATAGATATATATATATCCATATATTGGGAATATATTGGGAATATATTGGGAATTTCATCATCCCAACTGACGAACTCACTCACTCCATGATTTTTCAGAGGGGTAACTATACCACGAAGCAGATCTGATCTCAATTTCGGATGGTGTCCTCCAGCATGACTGGTTGGTGGTTTCAAAGATCCGGATTATTGTCCATTTCATATTTTGGATAATGAGTCATATATGTTCATTAGTGTTGATTAATGTTGATTAATGATGACTAATGGTTATTAGCTAACCATAGGTGATTCATATATGGGATGTCATCCTTCCCATTGACGTACTCACATTTTTCAAGATGGTTAAACCATGTTAAAACCGCCAAGCAGATGATTTTAGGATGTGATTGGAAACCCAAATCATACTTGAACTGAATGGGATAATGGGATTGTAGCTTTGTTTGCGTATTGTCATGCAATAACATCGCCCAATGAACCTACACCCTGAGACTAGCCTATTTTTAAAGAATAGAAGAGAGTAATTCTCCAACCTGTTAGTCTATGCTAATTGGAAGTATGGCAATTATTCGATTACACATGTTTGCACCCAACCTTGCTTCTGTAACGAATCGAGCGTTGTTCATGATACACTCAGTTCCATGGGTTGTGTCCTGAATATTTGTTGGGTTCACATGTGAGCCCATACTTGTACTTGATGCTGTATGTGCAATGCATGATGCAATGCATGGTTATGTTCATTCCCCTTCCCTCCATGTCGACTATTTCAACATTCCCATCTTTGGGAGTTGCAAGGCCTAAATCCAAATTTGTAATGCTTAAAGATCCATGAGTGTAGTGCAAATCCCTGATTTGTACTGCTGAAAAACTTCAACCCACAATCCACCCACGTTTGGAATTTTGGCAGCTTAAGTCAGCTTAAATCCCTGATGTTTACCGCGTCAAAGCAACATTTCTGATGGCTTACATGAACTGCCCGACGGAAAACAAACATTTTGCAGGAGGGTAAACTCCCATTTTGGCGTTTGGTTAAAACTGGGCCTGGAAAACCAGCAACAATTGGGGGTGAAGGCAAAGCGTTTGGCTGTTGAATCAACATAGAATGAGATAATAGAGGCATATGGCATATAACTAACATAGACATTTTCGAACACATATATATCCCGTATTTAATCCATAGTATATATAACCAATGAAGTAGCAAACATATCTAACTTTCTAACACGTATATAACCCATATATAAGCCATAATATATATATATAATATATATATATATACATATATATATATATAACCAACAAAGCAGTAATATAGGTGGTTGGTGAACTTCTCCATACCTCAGTTTTCGCTGCCAGGTTTGCCAGAGCTGGACCTTGAGGACTGGGCAGAATGGGGGTGGATCATCTCGTTAATTTACACTACAGTTATGGCCCAACCAACAGTTATAAAAGGTATAAATAAATGTAAACATCTGTCAAAAATGGAATTATAATGGGATGTTAACCACTAACAGTTGTAAATGGGATTATGTCATGATATATAACCTTAGTTGTAGGAGTTTTAATTCAATTTGCTTCTTTTAAGAGGGCCATAACTGTAGGGTAAACATTTTCATAGATGTGGGGTGGGTCAAAACGTATTATATGATAAATTTTAGTGGGATGAACATCCATTTACCAGCAATTTTATGGTTCACTGCCAGGGTTTTGACCCATAGCGAGATGTGGAAAACCCATAGAGAAAGCCAAAGAATCATCATGGCGTCGGATCACAAGTGACATTCCCATGGTTTGACTGTTGGATGGGTCCAAAATTCTGGACAGCCAAGGATGGTATAGACAGATGCTTTGGGGCTTTCCAGTGTTTTTTCACATCATGCCCCAATTTTCTGGCCACAAGCTGGTTCTTGTCTCAAGTTTTTCTATCATGACTTGGCGACAGACATATCATGACTGTTCTTGTTCGCTTCCCAATTCCAATATTCAACAAGATACCCTCTGGTAAACTAACATAGCTATGGAAAATCACAATTTTTTAATGGGAAAATCAACTATTTCAATAGCTATTTTGACATAACCAGAGGGTAAGTTCTAGGGTACCTGAAGGACCATCCTAATTATCTCATCTAGAAATAGAGGCTTAGGAAACCACCTTAAATGGCTCGATGAACTAAGTATGGTTAAGAAGATCTGTGGGATGATCCTCCAATTTTCATCAATTTTCTTTAGAATTTCTCTGCTGTGAGCCTGATTGTACCAGGACACCTTGCCCGGCGAATTGCCAGAGGAGGCGTGGGGGAATGGGAATTTTAAGTGTCATACTCGATGGGATCCCAAAAAAGGCCATGTTAATTGGTGAAGATGATTCATGATACATGATAGACTATGATAATATTTGTTAGGGTACTGCAAGCCATCAGCTATTCGGGGATGTCGAAAATCAGGGGACATGCCAGATCTGCTGCGGATCTTGATAGAAATATTGTGATTTGACATAACACAATTTCACCAAACATCATGGGAAAAGATCCAAAAGGATCGAGGTACTGTATCTTTCCGTGATATTTAGTCGAGAAAATCAGGGTATTTTCAACAAGGACTCCTCACTGGTCGATTTTTGTGAGCACGACGCTTTGAAGATCTTTGAAGCGCCCCAGGTGTGGCATGAAGTGATGCGCCTGGTTCTGGACATTCCTGATTTGGCGAACTTCGCGCGAGTCGCCTGGCGAAAAACTGCTGACATCAAACTTGGATACCAGATGGCATTTTACCATATTTTCCCAATCTAACTATGTTTAAAATCACCGTAAACCCTAGTTAATCTGTGTAAATCTAGTTATAAACCCCCTTAGCTCAGTGTACTTTCATTTCACACTCCATTTTTTGAAGTATCTTGTGGCTGTTTGGTAGCTTAACAAACATCCCAATTCCGATGGAAACAGCCCCATGCCACATCCCACTGGGGCATGGTGAGGCCCCTACATCCAAGTAGAGGTATATCCCCCTGTTCAACTCTAGTTAACCAAGTTAACCATGTATATGGCCCTGAAAGGTTGTAAATGGGATTACAACTCCTATAACTAAGGTTATATATCATGAAATAATTCCATATAAATAACTGTTAACGATTGTAATCCCATTATAATTCCATTATAATCCCATTTACAACAGTTCTTTTATATTTACTTATACCATTTATAACTGTTAGTTGGGCCACAACTGCTACGGGCCAGAACTCTATCGATTACCGTCGCAGCGTCTCAGGTCTCTATGGGCTTCCAGAAGGTGTGTTTCCATCAATGGGGGCCGGGCATCCTCAAATGGATGGTTTATTTCACGGAAAACCCTGTTACAATATGATTCAGGGGTAGCCATATGGGAAATTCGAAGAATATATGACATGTAATGGATTATAAATATATATATATATATACCATATATATATATATACACCATATATATATATATATATGGAGAATACCATCTGGGATGAGATTTGTTTAAGATGTGAAACATATATTCCGATGCGTTATCCATAATTTCTATGGGAAATTCGGAGAATTTTTCTGTAAGTTCTGGAGAATACCATCTGGGATCACAGCAAGCAACCCACCAAAATGGGGACATAAGCAAGAAAAAATAGGGTTTAACCACCAGACATGATGATATAGTGGGATGTATATAAGAGGTGTATATATAATATATTATATAACATATATATAATATAATATCATATCATATCAAATAATATAATATTATAATATAATATATAATAATAATATATATTTTAATATAATATATTTTAATATAACATAATATAATATAATATAATATTTTTTAATATATTTAATATAATATAATATAATATAATATAATATTTTTTAATATATTTAATATAATATAATGTAATATAACATATTATAATATAATTTAATATAATATAATATAATGTAATTTAATATAATATATAATATATTTTAATTTAATATATTATAACACAATATAATATAATATAACATTATATTATATAATAAATATATATATATATGTCTTATATATCATAAATATATTATATGTAATATTTATTTTATATAATATATATATATATAATGGATTGTGATGAATGGGAACTGATGATTAGGCACTTGATTTTCAGGTATCTGAGTTTTTGAGGAAACCATGTACTTTGAGTTGTATACCATCCATTTTTTTGGCGGGGACCCAATTATTTCAGTGTTTTGTGCATTAATGTGGTACACCCAATGATAATCAATGATCAACAATCAGCCATCCTTGATTTCACAAGAAGTTGGTAGTACAAACCGTTCAAATTGGAGGTTTACTCTCCGGTTGCTGCATTACAATCGTTTTATTGTATACACAGAGAAAGATAAACATCTTGCTTACCTGTTTTCAATATGTTGTTCGACGCTACTCTCCATTCCAGCCTGTTTTTTTTTCACAAATCCATCCCTTTGGGTATGTCTATCTGATGGGTCGAAATTCCTCCGAAGATAAAACCTGTTTGATTTACACATAGGTACCATAGATGTGTCCATAATTATAATCATTAAATACACATTTCGGTTGTTTTCCCACACAATGTAAGTGGCCTACATACCTTTGTTGGTATGTCCCCATTCAGTGGGCTATCCCATCTGTATTTATGGGTTCTAAGTTATGAGTATGGTTGTTACCCACAATCACGATCCGTGGGATGATTTACATAGTTGGTTGTAGTTGCTTACTAATGGCTATATCGCATGATATGCAACTACAATATATATTTATATATCCATATCATAAAAGGTTAGGTATAACTCTTAATATTCTTATATGTTTATATCTCATGTTCATATCCCATGCTGTTCAAATATTAATACTTCCAGCGAATACAACGATATTCGATTCCATGATTTGCTTCAACCATTGGACTTCTATAGCAATTGGATTTATATAGCCATGAACTATGGAATTACCCTCTGGCAATTTAACATAGCTATTGAAAATGGTGATTTATAGTGGATTTTCCCATTGAAAATGGTGATTTTCCATAGCTACGTTAAATTACCAGAGGGTAGACATAATTAAACTCAACCATTGCCTCAACCCCCATCTCCATCCGCCAGATGGTGCACTCCGAAGATGCCTGGCGTGGACGCGTGGTGCGAGTTCCACCGAGGCGCGAGTCGATTATGGCGCCACTTATTAGATGTACCATATTAGATGTACCACTTATAGCCAATTATTATAAGGGTTTTCATAGTCATTTCTATTGCTTCAAAATAAAATGTGGTTTTCCAGGTTGTTAGCTAAGTTGGTTTTGGCGCAGTAGGCTTTTACAGAGGATTTACAGATATTTACTCAGGATTGACAGATATTTACGGTAGATATATCTATGGTTATTTAACAGTTTGCCATGGTTTTTCGATGGCCCTAATCGAAATAGATGCTTTACCGAACTTAAAAATGGTGGATCTTTCCATGGGGAACTGTGACAAATTACCAGAGTGTATATCTATGGTTTATGTGGATTGTTTTAAGGGAAATTTGCAGGAAAACCCCATATCTAATGGGAAAATCGATGATTTCCTGTAGATTTTCCCTTAAACCAATCCATTGATTATGAGGTTATTCATACGCAATTGGCATAACGATCGCATCAGATCCCAAAAAAATCCGATCCGACTGGAGTTGAACTCATCATGGTTTCGTAAGTTGACATCGTAAGTTGATTTAATGATATAATTAAATGTATCAGTAATGTCAAGAAAGTCAATATCTATTGACTTTGACTTATAGTTATCATGGTTTTTCTTGTTTGATCTAAAAAGTCAACATCTAAAGTAAACAAGAAAAAATGATTATTTTAATATACATCATGGTATCATATAATTGATATACAGTAGATGTACCATAGATAGTGTTGACTTATCAACCGCCTTTGCGAACATTTTGCGAAGGGATAAACAAAAACACTTTGTAGTTCCCTCTGTGCAACTGCCAAAACAATGCCAGTTGTTTGGAGCATTTTGCTCCTCATTTGGAGCCTTGGTCGGGGCCTAAGGCTTGCGGCCACCTGCCTGGGGTCACCGAAAATGCTGTGTTTCTTGAGGGAATTATGGAAGTATATGGAATGTCATGGCTATGATTATCATATATTACCCTCTGGTAAATTAACATAGACCCTGAAAATCACCCATTTTTAATGGAAACTAGTCTTCCAACCCCGATGACTACCAGGGTCTATGTTAATTTACTGGAGGGTAAATAGCACTATTTAAGCCCCGATGATCCCAGATGTATGTGTGAATATCCCAGTCCCAAACTTCTTGAATTGCTGCTTGTCTGAGTCACTCCGCAACGGTACCAATGTCAATTGCATGTCTATTGAGTCATTTTCTTTAAAGATATTGCTTTCTTTGAGCCAGAATTGCACCACCAAAAAAACAACAAAAAGATCTGCAGAAAGATGTTCAATGCTTTCGGATTCCCCTGCAATCAAAGATGGCTATTGTCCCAGCTATAAACATCCATTTCTGGTTGGTGGTTTGGAACATGTTTTATTTTCCCATATATTGGGAATAATGACCCCAACTGACTAATATTTTTCTGAGGGGTAGGTCAACCACCAACCAGATTTAGTTCCATGTCCAAAACCGCCTGAGGTTATGCGCTTGGAGTTGTGCCAAAAAACTGGCGGCCAAGCAGCATCCAGTGACAGGTTCAGCCTCGCTGTGCCTACCTTTGCCTTATTTTGATGTCGAAAACGGAACTCAAAGTCCCATTTGAATGGGGCAAGCAATGATCCACCATGACATTTTGGGCTGACCTATTTTTTTTGACCAAGCCATTTGAGTTGTTTTTAGAGTCATCAACCAGTGCGGATGGGTTTATGACGCCTTGGAAAGGCTACTAGCTTAAATCGACAAAATAACAGTATAGAATTATAAAATATTATGACACATTACACACACACACATATATATATAATACAGTGTGTATATATATATACATCATTACACATATATACATATATATATATACATATATATATATATAGATATCATTACATGTATCTCTATATATATAGTATGACAGACATGAGCCACGTGCTGTTCGTAGGCGTCTAAGGTAAGCCATCTTATAATGCTATAGCCATCCCGGTGACCCCAGAACTGATTCAGTGGTCCGTATTTCCCTTATGCAAGTCTTGTGTCTCTGAAAGAATATGTACATGTATAACTATACCAAATTTAATAATATAGTATAATATAATATAACATAATATAGTATAATATATTACAATATAATATATTATAATATATTATAATATATTATAATATATAATAATCTATTTGGTTATAATATAAAAAAAAATATATATAAATAAATAAATACATTTTATAAATACATGCATTACATTACATACACACACGTACGTACGTGCGGACATACGTGCGTTAGCGTTATTGACATCTTTACGGAGTCCCCGGAGTCCCCCAGTCGTCCCCCGAAGCTCAGGTGCTGCCGCGTTCCGCGCAGCTCTTGAGCCAGGTCGCTCAACGAGCTCCAGATCTTCCTGTTGAGGCTCCAGTGACTGTTCTGGGTGCTGTTTAGCCCAGTTGGTTAAATGATGAAAGCCCATGAATAATGGGTATGATTGGGGACTTTTGTAGGAAACATATGGAAAAAACATGGGTATCATCAAGAATGGGAAAATGGACATCATTAGATGATAAGCAGAAATAGTGGCGGTGCCACAGTTGCGATAGGTGAATAGTGATTTAACCGGCAAAAATTCAAGTTCAGCAAGACATATGGATGTTTGTAGTTGATTTCTCGTTGGTACTTGGGTTTAGATTAAAACATGTGTAGGAAGACATGAGTGGCACTGGGTAGAAAATAGAGACTGTCTATCTATCATGTATCTTTCTTTATGTCCGTCATCACCAGACCCCAATTTTGCTGGTGAACAACTATCTCCATTTTGTCGATGCTGAAACTTACCACGTGGTGCCCACCAGTTTTGTTTGTTTGTGTATGTTCACCCCATGAATCAGCTTGATATCTCTACCAAAATGCAATTGCTGACCTACCGGTACTTACAGCTGATCTAACGGACCATCATTGATGGTTATTGATGCTTACAGTAATATCCCCGTTGTTGATTGTTATACCCATAATCTTTCCAGACGTTTCCAATTAAAACCCCATAGACTAACCATACATTGTAGAAGTGCTTTTATAAGCGTTTAAATGCCACTAGATTTTCAATAATATGTACATATATATAGATATATACACCAGTTATATCAGGTTATACAACCAACCATTCTTATCTATTTTGCATGGCAAATCTTGATGGGTCAGAACTGAGGCTTTGAAGCGCTGGATTTTGAGGTTGTCCCAATTTTTAGAGAAACAAAGCTGGATGTTATTAAAGAAAATCATCCCATCTCCCTATTAAACAGCCCTCGTTGTACAGGTGAGCTGGCGATTTGACCATCACCTAAAAGGTGATGGGGTGCAGGCGCAGGGGCCGACATCGGAATGCGGGATGTCAGATGCTACAAAGTGGGGAAACCCTGGATGATAGTCTACTACTTTTCTCTTTTGCCACGCATGTATATATATATATATATTTATTTATTTTTTATTTACATACAGATTTACCGCAGTATGTATATCGTTCTCGCTCGGTATCTGCTGTGAGATTCTGCCAGGCTTTATATATCTGGCACCGCTGATTTGCACGGAACTGTAGAGGTCAAAACGATGGTCCCCTGGTGGGTACTAAAATACTTGCTAGTGTAAATGGTTAATAGATATTGATCCTATATTGATCCTAGAATGATCCTATAATGATCCTATGTAAACGGTTAATGCTTGCTGGTGGGTATTTAAAATGATCCTATAATGATCTTTAGATATTGACCTATCTCTACCTTGCTTCAGCTATGATGTTCTTGCTACTTCACATTTAGGACAGTTGCTGCTTGTGCTTTGTTGATAGTAGTGTGTTGGTCCTGAACTTCAGAGAAATTTTCTGAGACAAAATAAACAAAACATTTTATGTGTATATATAATTGTATACATATAATTATATATATATATATATTTCAACTTAAAGGTGTTATTTGTTCGTAGTCTCCACCATAATTCTGAGGCTAGCACCAAGAAACATCAAATCTCCGGGATGCAGCGAGCTGACTGCAACTCATGTCGTACGGAAAGAGTGACCGACCCTCCCAAAAACCCTGATTCTCCAGATGAGAACCTGATGGACTATCAACTTCAAACAATCAGGCCGCATCAATGAAGGCACAACAACTTAGGAAATCATCAGTTTGTGGACCTGAAATCAGTTTTGGTCATTACTCTATAACAAAAATATTTCATGTTTATCTTGGATCAATTTGAATTACTCTTTATGATATCTATGACCACGGATCATGTAGATCTAAATATGGGTTTGTTGGAACATACATGTGAATTTATGTTAGTATACACCTTTATAATATGATTATCTTCGGTCCCTCTCCACTGTTCTTCCTCACCATTTCCGAAAAATGTCTTCCCAGTGCTACAGTGCTACAGGAATTTTCTGTGTGTGAACCCCTCAGGAAGACACAAAAAACTCTCAAGTTTGATCTTGAGAAATTCCCATGGAACATCCCATAGGTGATACCTCCACAAAGACTATGGGAGGGTACCAATGGTTGCTGCTTCATACGGTCGCGAAACAATAATCCATTGAACTACAGTGATATTCCAGAGAAAACACCACCGTTGAAGCGAGTTAGAAAATCAACTTAGTCAAATAATGATCAAAAATTGATCCAACTTAGCTAATGACCACGGTTTTCATCGTTTTTTTTTGGGTGAACTCTGGTGAAATCCATGACTTTTTACCTCCAAATCCCATGGTGTTGTTTTCCAGGTGCTGAAACACGGCTGCACAGTGCGGCGCGTGGCCGAAGAGGCCGACGGACAGTGACCAGATGGAACAGTAACTGTTGACTGTTGAAAGATTTACAGATAAATTAGCCTCTGGTAAACGTTTACATAACTATAGAAAATCACAATTTTGAACAGGTAAAACAACTATTTCTAGGTGGTATGTTCAATAGCTATGTTAAATTACCAGAGGGTAACAGATAAGTTTATAAGTATCATAGCTATTGATAAATGCAACCTTTTCTATAGATATAAATTGATCAACATTATCTATAGATAATTTTACAGAGAAGTCACTGTTGATATAGGCATCATATAGGTGATGATACTGTTTAATTTATCTATAGACTATAGGCATGATATAGGTTGATATAGTATTATAGTCCCAGTGGCAAAATTAATCATTATAATTCCAAAATGATACCTAACACAGAACAATTGTTGGTTTAATAAACAAATAAAGTCTATCTGGTTAAATTATCATCAAGGAATTTGATCATGAATTACTAACGGAAAGTAAACATCATCAACCAGAAATAAGCAATTGTTAAGTATAATGATACTTATATATATATAACAATGATTACTGTAAATATACCAGTTGAAGTTTATGATGATATAATTTCCAGCTGAAAACAATTACTGTAATTAATTTACCAATCGATATAAACCCAGTCATATGATTAGTATTGGTGATTTATTGGGATTTTCGTCTAGTCACTGCCTATAGAACAGACTATTTTAGTGGGATTTCAGTCCAACTTTCTATATATGTTTTTTGATTCTTATATGAGAGCGTAAGGATTCTTGACAAAGACCGCCAGTGTTGCAAATAATGCCCCGGTTCATCATAGTTCATGTTTTTCTGCTGGAATTGCAAACGTTTCTTCACAACTCGATCCTTTCATGTGCAGCAAGGACCCACGGCGGAAGGCAGAGTGTGCTAAGGCCCTAGGCCACAAACTTCCAGTTCCAAGTCCGACGAATAGTGATCGCGGAAAATCAGGTTAATCCTATAGGAACAAAGACGACAACCTTGAGGAAACCACCATTTTAGTTTATAAAATCAGCATGTGTCATGCATAGCTTGAAAAAAAAACAAAATACTGGTTCCTACTAGGTCATATCTCAAGAAATCCTTTATGTTTTCCAGCGAACATCCAGGTAGCTGAAGAAAACATATTACCATTTTCAACGGGTAAATAAGATTAAATCACTATAAATCATCGATGTTTACCATCAAGATGCCATTTTCCATCATTGTCCATGGATAAAATCCACCATGTTCCATCCTTCAAACTGACAGGAGTTGGTTGTCCTCGGCGATGCAGCCCTGCCTTCCGAGCAGGGCCGTTGTCCGTGCGCACTTGGGGATAGTCCGGGATAGCTATCAAAGATGGAGATGTCCCCATATGTTTCATGCCATTTGCCTTCCTGGATTCCAGCGTTCTTCATCATCAAACACTTATTATCCAATTAATGGTAAATTAGATTATATCTATCAATCTATCATTAGATTATCAGATTATTGATTCATCATCAAACACTTTGAATTATCAAATCTATCATCATTTTCTTGAATACCAAAGCAATTACATGTCACGGGCGCTGCTCCGGCAAGATACGTGACCGGATGTAACCATCAAAGTGGTTATTTTGTACCAATTAAGAAGGGGCTAGGATTGCCTTGCCAAGCAGCTAGGCATTCAAGCAGCATATCTCATTTCACCTGGCAAAGTCTCCAAACTATTGATCTACATCAAAATGTATGTGTAAATTGGGTTCATAAATTGGAAACATGTGATGACAACTTCTGTCAGCCTAGCCTTTTTATTGGAATATGCACCTCCTTGGATCATCCCAGTGGTTTTTGTTAACAAAGAAGCCTAGTGGCCTAGTTAGCAAGTCCCCCAATGTGGTGGGATTATCCTGGATCATCCATTTCCTTACCAAGTGCGATGATCCTCCAGACAAACTAAAAAAAAACAAAAAGCTGCCCTGACACTGATGAAAGGTATTTAGAAGTACACATCGATGAGTGTGGTGAGGTGCGCCTGCCAGTTGCCTCTCTGTATCGTTGCGAATCTTTTTGGGTTTGGGTCAAATCGCAGTTTTTTTTGGCATCTGGATTTGTCACGGAACGGGCGGGCGGTCTGTTACTCATCGATTTGAAGTAGCGTTTTACCGACTTAACAAATCTTGGCATATTTTCTGGATCATATTCCCATTATTTTGCTTCCCAATCCTGCTGGTTAGTTCTCAATCCCCATCACTGTTGCTCATTAAAACATGTTGAAACCACCACAATATTTTATTTTGTTTCCAAGTCATATTCCATAAACATGACAATATCCTGGAAATTCGGAAATAGGGGGTTTTACCACCACATCTTTCTAGGTTTCATGGTTTATACCACCTATAAAATGGTGATTTGGGGAATGGTTTTTGAAATTGGTTTACCCACATTAGGGAGTTTTACTACCAATCAAGCACATGAATATCATAACATATCATGACGATACCCTGGAAATGCAAAAATAGTGAGTTTTACCACCACATCTTTCTAGGTTTCATGGTTTGAACCACCTATAAAATGGCGATTTGGGGAATGGTTTGTGAAATTGTTTTACCCACATTAGGGAGTTTTACTACCAATCAAGCACATGAATATCATGACATATCATGACGATATCCTGGAAATGCGGAAATAGTGGTGTTTACCACCACATCTTTCTAGGTTTCATGGTTTATACCACCTATAAAATGGCGATTTGGGGAATGGTTTGTGAAATTGTTTTACCCACATTAGGGAGTTTTACTACCAATCAAGCACATGAATATCATGACATATCATGACGATATCCTGGAAATGCGGAAATAGTGGTGTTTACCACCACATCTTTCTAGGTTTCATGGTTTATACCACCTATAAAATGGTGATTTGGGGAATGGTTTGTGAATTTGGTTTACCCACATTAGGGAGTTTTACTACCAATCAAGCACATGAATATCATGACATATCATGACATATCATGACGATATCTTGGAAATGCGGAAATAGGGGGGTTTACCACCAATCAACCACATTGTTTCCAGCTTGATTCATAAAATGACAATATCCTGGAAGAAACAGGGGCTTTTACTACCAATGAACCACATTTCCAGCTTTCTGTTGCCAGGGCATCGGGGATCAGATCAACGACTTTGGCTTTGGGGTCACAGCCTGTGATCCTGAGGCCGAACCCTGGAATCATCGTTAAGGGAAATCATCCCCAAATGGCCGAACTATTCAGGTTAGTGAAATATGATAATTTACCCAGGTTGATAATGGTTGATATATATATATATATATTAATACACACTTATATTATGGGTGATCCATAAAAAAAATAATGTTTTTCATGGGTTAATATGGATGGATGATAATATAATTATGGTGGATTATCAATGGATTATCAATTGATTATTAATGGATTACGATGGATGGTAAAGACTACTGATGGATGAATTGAGGTTATCCGTACGAAAATCATCCACAAATGGGATTTAAGTGATTTTTTGCGGGTAGAACAACACTTGCATGGATTATATCGGACCATTGATGGTTTATTCATGGATGAATGATGGATTGCAATGGATGTGAATGGATTATAATGGGCTAAAGATGCTAAAGTGGATTGTAATGGATGAATTATAATGACTTATTTATCGATCGTGAATGGATGAACATGAATGATAATCGATTAATATAATGGATTATGACGACTTATAATGGATTCATTATGATTGATTATAATGGATTTATTACGATGGATTATATATTGGATGGGAATGGATTACAATGGATTCAAACGGATCATTGTAGATAAATCAAGGCTTTCCGGATCCATAAATATCCAGAACTGGGATTTAAGCATGGAGGATGTAGCCTCTGGCAATTTTACCCCTTTCCTATTGGAAATCATGCTCAATAGTAACTCAATAGGTAAAATAACCGGCACTTTCCCAGGTTTCAACTGTTGCGTGGCAGTGACAACGTTGTGGGATGGCGCCAACTTCTCAACACGGCGTCGCGTCGTCGATTCAGGAGTTCCAGCAGACAGAGATATTGATGCAGCGCTGGCTGTGATCAGCAGACATGTCTCTGTCTTGAGAAGCAAAAGTATGTGCAAAGTGCAGCAGTGCCCTTTGAAAACATTGGAGATTCGAAATTTACTCGGGTATTCACATGTATTCGCCCAAATTGGCACAATTGCTTTACCACAGAATATCCAAAGGTGGTTCAGTTACATGTGCAGCTGCAAGACTAGCTGGAACGAAGCTTGAAAAATCATACTGTAACACTTTGACCAGCAAAACACGTGTCTGTTTACAATGCAGGTTTCAGCCATGCCATTCACCCCTCGGTGTTTCAAAGGTGAGGCCGAGATAACGTACAGCGTACTTTGGGACTTTGGAAATTTCTGCGGTCCCATTTCCTTGGATTGTGTTATAGTGTGTTTGGTTGATCACAACTTTCGTAACTCTTTAGGTATGTATATATTTTTGTATATATATATATTATATTATATATATATTATATTTTACATATATGGATAACCACTAGAAATTAAACTTTTAGCAGAGGAGCTGGGAACCAACCAGTAACCAACACTTTGCATATGGATAATTCATGGACGACGATGCTACTGGTGGGGAAGGGGCAGGGCATTTGGTGCGGCATCTGTAGTGGAATGGGATGGTGCTAATGGTTATTCAACCAATACGGGCTTGACATAAACCATCACTGGCTGGTTAGGAGGGCTGGGTATGCATATTCCAAGGAACATGGTGGAGTGAACCATCAAAAATGGTGGGGAAATGTTGGATTGAATTTTCAATTACAGGGAGTTGTCAATGGTTTAGTGGATACCGGTGTGTCTGAAAATGGGGTATACCTCCAAGCTACTAGTATGGGATTTGAATGCGGAACATCATGATAGACCAGACGATTTTGGGGTACCATACCATAGTGTAGAAAAAAATGTGTATACTTTGACAGAACTTGGATAAGCACGGGGAGATTGCAAGTAAAGCAAGCATACGTATTATGATGGTGTGGTCGGGCTGTGAATGTTTTTGTAAACCATCGTCATGAGATGTGGTGCAAACCAGCAACGGAATTTTGGGACCATCAAGATCTCTGGAATTGGGAATAGCAACTGCTTTTGGAATTGGACATCTTTGGGTAAACCATCAAGATGGGTAAATTCCAAAGTTGGATTACTGCTGGTATAGTACTTGCTGGTTTTATTGTTTTTTTTGTGAATGGTAGTGGAAACCGACTTCTCTTTTGTATTCCATTCTGATGCGAAGATCGGCTAGCCGAACAAACAATGGTCTATGATCCAGGTTGGCATTTCTTTGCGAACTCCAGCTGGTGACGAAAATGAGTTATGCACATAATTCATGTATTGTACAATGTGCCCCCCCAGTGATGTTAGTTGGTTTAGATTCGCCCCAGTAACTATAGTTATAAGTACCATAAACCATAGTTATTGGACTTATAAACCATAGTTAGCTAAGTTGGTTTATAACTCCCATTTCACTTTGGTTTATGGCAGATATAACGAACTAGTTAATGGGGTTTATAAACCAACTTATAACTGGTGGGGCACCATCCTGTGTATTGTACCATTAATAATAATGATGATGATCATTAATTATCTGGTTGGTGGTTTGGAACATGAATTTTATGTTTCCATATATTGGGAATTTCATCATCCCAACTGACTAATATTCTTTCAGAGGGCTAGGTATACCACCAACCAGTTATCGTGATAGTGATAGTAATTCTGGTGATTTTGATGATTTTGTTGATTTGGAGGCGTTGTCTCACAGCCATGCCAGGAGATTTCCGAACTTGGCTCAGTGGCGGATGAGGCGGAAAAGCTTGGGGAGCTTCAAGTATGGGAAATTGTGGTCAAGGCCACTGTGGTGAGTCAACCACAAGCTGTTCCACGTGCTTTGATTTAAATGATCTTGCTTAATTTTGCTTAATTGGTAGCTTAATATGTTTCATCATTTTTCTTTAAATGTAATATATATATATACATCTGTTAAACATATGTTATACATCTGTTTTCCAGCGGTTGTCACATTTATAGCTCCGCCATGTTGTGGAGATCTCGGTACTGTTCCACTCCACTCCACTCGCGACTCGCGAAAAAACTCCCCGGAGGTGAAATCAGCTCCATGGCTGGGAAATCCACTATGGGGTTATCAATATTGGGGTTATCATTCTGAATATTCGGTAATCAATATTGGGTAATCCACTATTCATTACTATTGGGTTAATCCACTATTGAATAAACCACTATTGAATAGTTATTATTAATTACCCACTATTGGTTAATCCACTATTGAATAGTTATTATTAATTACCCTCTGGTAAACCACTATAAACCACTAATGGTTGTTAATATTACCACCTTTAACCACTATTAACCACTATAAACCACTATAAAAATTACCCTCAGGTAAACGTTTACATAACGAACTGGAAAATCACATTTTTTCATGGGAAAAATCATAAATTGTTTTTTTTTGCCACCTGTGAATGACGGAGGGTACCAAATATAGTATAATATTCAATGGAAAATCCCTTGAAAATTAAGATCGAAGCCCTCGAAAAGAAATGGACAATTGTTTTGTTTATTTGAATTTTGAGTCTCTGCACGGCTCTCACCGTTAAAATATGTTTGACTAAAGAAAAAATAAAAAACATATGAACACATGAGATCAGATATGAGTATGCGCGCTGACATGTTGATAATTGAACCATTTCGAACCCATCTTCATATGCCCCCCCCAGTGATGTTTGTTTTACAGCTCATTAACTACTTCGCTATAAGTATCAGAACACATATTGAAATTGGAATTATGTGCACCCAACTTAGTTCAACGTCAATCAAGTATAAATCCCCCATTTTTCTGGGTTCAATCCCTATTTTTGCTGGTTCCCACCGCTTCTTGATGAGATCCCCATCATTTGGGGCCCCACCACTTGATCTTCACAGGGCCAGCCACAGGTTCCCCGGTCCTGGGTGGTGGATTTCACTCAATCGATGGTGAGAACCTGAGCGGAACCATAGATGGGTTATTGTAGATGAAGCTATAAATGAAGCCATAGTAGATCTATGATATTGTAGTCTATTGGATATTCAACATAGAAAGCAGTTTTTCTTTACATCATTTGAGAATGGACATGGATATGAGACAAGAGCTCTGGATATTGAGCAACATTGTTCTTCGACAGTGGGTATTCATTATTGATATAATCAAGGAACGTTGGGCTCAGAAGCGTCAACCATGAAACGGAAAAGGTTGGCCATTTCCGGTTCGAAGCAACCTTTTAATAAGGGTACCACAATGTTGACCAGCCGACGTACGCCGGCGCACTTGGCCCTCTGGTAATTTGTTACATATAGCTATTGAAAATGGCCATTTATAATGGATTTACCCATAAAAATGGTGAATTTCCATAGTTATTATACCAGAGGGTAAGCAGACATGACTCCTACTGGTGAGTTCCTCTTCACCGTCACCTATCAATTTCAATGTGGCTATCGCGACATGGAATGCTCCTTCAGATCTAAAGAAAGCAACGTGTCGCAACGTGTCGGGAGTCCCCTCGATTTCGCACCGACACCAAAACATCCCAGTAACCGATTGGGGATCTGACTTTTTTGCAGGCCCGAGTTCACCAAAACCTCTCATCCCCTGGTTTGGGGCATGATTTACACTAGTTCCGAACTCCCAACTGGAAAACTGGTCACGAGTTGCACCAGGGCACCAAGGGTTTTGGGATGTTAACTCCCAGAATTGGATCGAAATCGTATGACATCGTCATGTTCCTGTGGATGTTCCCTTCAATCCTGGCAATGGAAAATCCACAAATATCCACAAGTTACCCTCTGGTAAATTAACTTGTTGACCCTGAAAATAGCCTAGTTTTAATGGTTTCACTAATCTTCCAAACCCGACAACTGCCAGGGTCGAACTGTTAATTTACCAGAGGGTATATATAGATGATCTTCATTGATCTCCTAATCTCCTTGATCCCATGGTGCCCCGGTTTTTGTAAACGAACGAACATTTCACTGGGGCGCGGCACCTTTTGAATTATGGTTATGACAAACCCTAGATATATGATATATTGGTTATTTGATGTTATAAGCATTTATGGGTGCCAACTTAGCGTTCGTTTATTTTGCAGCACCATGATTGGTTCTTTTTCATTGCAAGTATCCTGGTGCCAAAAGGAGGGAATGAGAGAATGATCCACTGGCTAACTATCAAGCAGATCATCCCAGCAACCCATCAATTCCCATCCATTCCCATCCGCAGCAGTAAGACATCCCAAGATTTTTTGCTGAGGTCTGTCTTAGTGTCAACAACCGGGAGGTGGTGGCCCCTAAACCGGCCCGGATCGGGGAGAGTCCTGCGAGTTGTTGGATGCGCCCGGATGTTGATGCCTGGTGCGATGAAAAAGGTTGTTCCTTCTCCAAAGTAATTGTAGCACATGACTATATGATACTATATGACTATCATACTTCACTGATCATCTACATTATATACATAATTTCATATGTATATATATATATATAATATATATAATATATATATATATATACACATATACATATATATATATATGTATGTACGCGTAATGTATGTTTCTATGCGATTACAGGTATGTCATATCAGATCCCCATACATAGAGTTACATAGCCAGAGAGTTTGGTCCCGGATCAGCCACAGGCATCGCAGGGTAAACGCTTGTCGGCGGCGGCTTTGAAAGAGGTGCATGGCCAAGTTTGGGAACAGGGTAGTGGACCTGGGTCGGGTTCCTGTGAAATCTAAGTTTGTGTAGCTTGCAGCAGCTGATGGCTACTGTTTACAAAATTTTACAAAATGGTTTTTCATCAAATGGGAATGGATGCCGCCCATCTATTTGATAATATGGAAAGGGTTTTGCATCATTTGCATGCAAGCGTGTCTTGTTGATTTTCAAATGCAATGTATATATATATAAATTATATATTATATTATATATATTATATTTATTATATATATATATATTCATTTACATATATATATATACATTCTGTAAATATAATATATTAATATAAAATACTGGGTATCAAATATTACAATTAATATACATAGTCTATGTCAGCCCGCAAACTGGAAAGGAGGAAGCAGGGTGACCAGGGTCTTGCCGCACAGGGCTGCCGAGTTGGCTTGCTCGTGAAACCCACGACCTTCGAGGCGTGTTTTCCCGTGAGACCTATGGTTTATAGGCCACAAAATGATGTTACCTGCTCAACTGTATAGACCTACGGAATTGGTCATGTGGGGAAAACTACGCTGAACAATTTGTGTGTTTTTTTTTAAATCTTTGTGTAAACAAATAATTTGCACTCATGGGAAGGACTATGACAAAAGCGATCATAAAGACAACGGAAAATATGGTATTATAGGCCGCATAGGTGTAGGCATAATTCAGGAATTCAGCCCACCTGCATCTCGTACCTTTGCACGTGTCACTTGGGTTGGGTCGGAACTGTACGGAATCTAGGCACATACAAGGTGATGCCCCAGTTTGGCAAAGTTGCTGAAACTAAGCAGCTAAACCATTGTATATAATATTTGATAATATGTACATATATATATAATATGATATGAATTTATAAACCAACCAACATAATTGGGAAGCATCACCTTATATGTTTTGACCCAACTCCACTTGATGAATGCTGCGTGCAACTTCGATTAGGATGGTCCCGTAGGTGTTGACAGGTGCTGACCATAGAAAAAAACATGGAGTATAACACGTACAACCGGTGAAACATAATCACAAGGTGGTGCTCCCCAATTATAACTTTGTGTATATGCCCAATTAAATACTTCAAAGCATCTACCATAGATCCTATTGTTAACGTACTTAGTTCGACCAATTTAGCAAACAAACTGGGGCACGAGCAATATATCATATCATGAATCCTAGTTATCATTGTTATGAACCAACTTGGTTATCTACAGCGGGCACCATCTTGTACATTCTATACATTGTACAACCCTTGAACAAGAATAAGTATATCAACCCCCCTGTAACCCATCTACATTTTCCAGGATTTTAGCCATGTTCCATTCCCTCGCGAGCCTCTTGAGATCTACATCGATGGTACCCTGCGAGACACCTTGCCTGTGCGCGTGGAGGACAATGAAGTGTTAAGCCACTGGATAGGAAAGGGGATTTTCCATTGCAACGTCTGAATACACGAGGGTACCGCAATTTGGTTCCAAATCTGTTTGACATAGACTAATCCAAATATCCATTATGTTTGGTGGTAAATTGTTGTCCAGTATCTCAATGGCTTGAGTTTCATACTTCGGAGAAACGAAGAACTAAAGCAGGGGTTCCAATTTCTTGTTGTTTCATCCTCCCCACTATCCACTTTTTTTTCCAGCGCCTCCATCCCCTTCTTAATCCTGGGAGTGGGCATGGTGGGCCATTTCTCGAGACTTTCTGTACGTTAAACCATGGATGGGTATTTCATATAGTTTTTCCCTTGACTGTTGTTCTCCATCACCGACTTGTCTGGACTTTTTGTCCCTGGGCTTTTCACAGGACCGCGTGCCCAGCAACACAGGCTTGTACCCGGTCTTGGACTTGTGCGCTGCGCCGGTAGGTTGCCATTTCAACCAACAATGGTAGGTTTATTGTCGGGTTTCCCACGTTAAATGTTAAACGGACATAATTATTATATAACCAACATGAGCATATGTGTTTTGTTAATCAGACCATGTTTTGGTTGCTGATTTCAATGTTTATTAACCAAGCCATGTTTGGTTTACTCCCAAAGAAACAGTAGAATTTCATTCCAATGCGTTGTTGCACGAATGCTTTTGTTCATGATGATGACTAATATGTTGCTTGCCTGCCGGCTGTGCAGTTGTTATGTATATATCCCTCCGGTTGAAAGAGTTGGTTCGCATAGTTTGTATCTTTTATTGTTGGGTAGGCCGGGCAGGCCTAACGCATTTTTTGTCAGCAAACACATCAGCCTTAGCTACCCTCTGGTTACTTAACATAGCCATGGAAAATTGTCCATTTATAGATGGTTTACCTATTAAACATTGTGATTTTCCATGGCTATGTTAGTCATAACCAGATGGTAACTTTGGATATTCACACACTGGATTCAGCCAACAAACGGCCCAAAAATCCTGCAGGTACGGACGGACCATCGAAATCTCAAAGACAGAGGCTGAGGACACGGTGGACACGGCGACGGCCGATTTCGAAAATTGATGCACAGCATTTAGGGATAGATCGGGATCTTTAGTTTGACTATCTGGGGTTTCTTAAATATCTTAAAATGGTAGCCCAATGGCTGGATTGCTGGATGATCTATAATGGAAGATCCTATTAAAATGGATGATTTGGGGGTACCCCTTTAGTTTTAGGAAACCCTTGTATTTCAGCAAAAGTGCCGTTTGATTGGACATCCCAAGCACTTGCAGTTGGCTACAGATATACAGAATTATACAGATAGTATGCCCTCAATGCTGGGATGTGTCTGAACTTTGGGGCTAGCGACGTGAGGTGCTCACCATCCAGAAAAATGACATGGAAATCTCTCCACAGGATGGTGCCCCCCAGTTATAAGTTGGTTTATAAATCCCATTAACTATAGTTACTATAGTTATATCTGCCATAAACCATAGTTATGGGAGTTATAAACCAACTTAGCTAACTATGGGGCACCACCTTGCATGTATAGATCATTTCTCTAGGGAAAACCACGGCTATACACATCGATGTGAGCGTTTTCGTCCACTTGAGGGTGTACACAGAGGGAAACGCGTCAAAGACGACTGTTTTTTGACCGTATGTCTGGTTGCTGAGAAGATAGTTTCCTGAAATGGGGCTACCCCCAAATCATCCATTTTGATTGGATTTTCCATTATAACCCAACCATTTTGGGGATCCACCATTATGGAAAGCCCAATATTTTTACATTTGTTGGGTGTGTCTTGGCTACTGAATCCCTGGCACCGCACCTATCCGCAACTGAAGCCATGCTGAGTGGAGGGAAGTGGTTTTGCACCACTGACATGCAAGTAACATGTATGATATGGAGGTCTCCGAAAATAGGGGTACCCTCAATCATCCAAGACTATTTAAGTATATGTTAGTCTTGAAACCGATGGTTTTGGGGCACCCCAGTTTTAGGAATACATAATAAAAGAGTTCTGGGAGCCTGTAGATGTTTCTTTAGCTTCGAAGTTTGCCCTGAAAACCTGTGGGACATCTACCATGAACTTTGCAGTACAATTTCCTTGTACTTAGTACATCTTAGTACATCTTAGTACTGGTACCCTGTAATGTGTATTGCAAACATTGAAGTCTACTTGGCGATCAGAAAGTTGTAAGAAAAACCTAAAGGCCATTTGTTGTTTGATCCCTTTGTATACAGAAGGTTTGTACAGATTTGTGCACAAATTGAAATTCCAGGAACATTTTATCACAGCAGGTATATTAATATTGCTGTAAATAAATTATGTATATACTGGTTGGTGGTTTGGAACATGTTTGTTTTCCATAATATATGGGATAATCCTTCCCATTGACTACTAATTTTCAAGATGGTTAAACCCACCAACCAGTATAATTATATATAATTGTATAGATATATAATTATATAGATATATAATTATATAGATATATAATTATATAGATATATAATTATATATTTTATATTATATATATTATATATTATTATATATATATATATATTATATTATTATTTATATATTATATATTATTATATATTTACATATTATATTATATTATATATATATATTATATATAATTATTATTATTATATATATATATTATTATATATATATATATATATTATACGAACACATTTTAGGATGCTGAAATGACCCACCATTTTGGTTACGTCAGGAGCCCTTCTCTCGCCTTGCTTAGCTTTTGACGGTCGCGACCGCCGCGAAAAAAAACTGGGTGAATTCGAATGCGAGGCCGTGGTGACTCCTGGAAGATCTGCTGGATTATATGTAGTAATATAATTCTGGATGATTAATATATATATATATATACGGACAACTATATATATATATATATCCTGAATTATGCAAGTAATATAATTCTGGATGATGTTTTTTCTTTTGTATATATTATATTACTCATAAGCAGCAAGTTTCCAAAGACCAAAACATATCTATATATATCTATCTATTTAGATGGATTTCTAACTTAGTATGTGGAAAAAGTTGAGAATGTTCGGGACACCAGGATGTTATCCCTTTGCTTCCTTGTCCTGGCCCGCTTCGTCCCCCAGTATGCAGCAACAGACTGCAGCCAATGAGGACAAACTGAAGACATTTGAAAAGCATTTAAATTCTATCCGATACTATCCACCTCGGTGGTCATGCACGGCGCATCACGGTGCCAAAATTGACATGGCGAATGTTGATGAATGTTGGCTGTCAACGCACCGTGCATCACTGCGAAGTTTCATCGAGCAGAAGTGCAACTGAAACCTGAAACACCGGTATCACGGATACAATGTGAAGAATTTCGCCCGTTATTCACAACAGGCCTTGAGAACCCTGTTGATTAAGTTCCCACTCCAAACAGTTTGATTTGATCCGTTAAATCAATGTAGAACCACCAAAGGTAGAATCAAATTTGTGATTTGATTCCCATTTAGATGTTTTTGACATCTTGCTTTTTGGCTGGTTTGTGGACTGCCCTACAATCCTTCAGTGGAAACAAGTCGAAAGAGTGCGGATGCACCATGTTAACTCCTAAGCTAAAACGGTTCCTAAGTTTGGAATGCCGTATTGCTTTGTATTTAAACATTATTTTCCATCTTTAACTTGTCCAGAAAGTACTGCACCTCGGCAATTCTGAAAAAAAATGTTGTAAACACTAGCAGCGAACTGGCCAAATACGATCAGATGTTATGGCCCCCCAGCAGTGCGATTGAAATGGTGGCCTGGTTTTCAGCCATGCTTTGGCCGCACCCATTGATGCCGTTTCCGCTTCGGCAATGACCCCGAATGACCGAGCGTAGCAAGTGATGCTGATCAACATATTAATGGAGATTTGGGAACTTCCTAGGCAGGTTGGCAATACGGGGCGTAGCCCAAGTCCCTACAATACCAGCCACATCGGAATGCATTCATTAAGCCTCGTCGAGTGGCAAGGAGTATGCTTCAGGTGTTTGTGGGATATGTGGGTTGTATATATATATATATGTATATATATGTAAATAGATAAGTATATATATATATAATTATATATATATAATATGTGCCATGGTCAAAGCTTCAATTTAATTACCCATCTTCGGGCGGGTCACGCACCCATCCGGGATTCATTTTTTCGATTTATGGGATGACCATAGCCTGGGCCAGGGTGGGCGGGGCACTGGTGGCTCAAGTAATTTGAGGAAGTTCAATGGCTTAATGGTTTCTAAATCTGAATGACTAAGTTATATATAATATGTTATAATCCCATATTGGTATGCGATGACATAGCCAGTTGTACACCAAAAAAACGTGGGTTTCCAGCTTCTTATTCAGATTCTCACTGGGTGCTTTCAATGATTTTTTATGCAATTCCACAAAAATGGATTGATCAATGCCCTCCATTGACTTTCATATTTCTATGTTCTGATGTAAGTCCAACATAGTCTAACCACCAATCAATCGCGGAATACGATGCTAGGATCAGCTGCGCGAGAGGGGTTGGCCGTTGGTTTTCAAGAGTTCCACATGCACGAGGCAAGTGCACGTTCAACGGTGAGTGCTGTGGAGGATGCCAAGCTGCTCTGCCGAAAACGCTGTTGGTTTAGGAATCACCTGGTTGGTTTGGGATGGAGCTTGTCTGAGCCGGAAATCCAGGAATATCACTTGAGCATACTTGAGCAGAGTTCAAAACCCCGGTGGATGATAACTTTGTGGGGTTAGACTACCCAATATATTGGGGATGATCGTAGTCCATGAGCTTTGTTCATTGCTTCCAACCAGCCAGTATAATTACTGTATGTCTTTATATATATATAATTATATATATATATATAAACATATACTGGAATGTCAGGGGAAACACAGAGGGTTTTGAAATGTTTTGAACACTGCAAGATTTGTCATCTTAAGAGTGGAAAAACGCCACATGGCCACGTGGATCCACCGTGGTACCTGCTGAGATTTGCATCAATCAATAGGTAGGTGCGTCAAGCAGTTGATGAGTACTTCTGTTGTTTTCCGAGCAAACAGTCACTATCAGAGTTAGTTCGTTTGTTAGTTTGTTTGTTAGTTTGTTAGTTTTATTATATATATCCCAGTATACTAATATATATATATTATATTATATATATATTAATATATATATATACATATGTATATATATATATTATAATGTACACATTATATATATATATATATATTAATATATATATATATATTAATATATATATATATATATTAATATATATAATGTGTACATTATAATATATATATATATATTAATATATATAATGTGTACATTATAATATATATATATATATGTATATATATATATATGTATATATATATGTATATATATATATGTATATATATATATGTATATATATGTATATATATATACATATACATATATATATATATATTTGGATGAATTATACTAACCTCAATGTGCTGTCACTGAAATGATGAGTAAGGGAATCATCCCCAAAGGCTAGTGAATTTCTATAGTTCAGCCATAATACACATATTCATACGCATTCCCCAGCAACATCCTATGGATGAATATCCCATTCTCTATCACACTTCGAAGGTACAATTCACCCCCTAGTCATCCCCCAAATATATACTTTAAGGAACGGCCAGATCCAGATCCAATTCACATCCCAAGATATCTTCATCCACGGCCAGCAGTTTCAGCATCTTCCCCCGGAAAAAAGGCGCGAAGGTCACGTCCAGCTGGTCCAGCTTCATGCCGGAGATGTCATTGAAAATATCCGATACCATGTAATACAACATAACATACTGTGGAGGGTTGCGAAATCCTGTATGTGACCGCATACCGAATTTTTCAATGGCCATGTCAGGAACCTAAATTGGAGGTACCTACCATATATAAGGCCTATGTAAGGCCTATGTAAGGGAACATCCCCATAAAATATGGTCTTATATGGTACAGTACCTCCATTTTAGGATCCTGAAATTCCCATTGAATTTTGGGACTATAGGGGGATTATGCCCATCTATCAACTGGTGATTTCTTCCATTTCAGCTGTTGAACAAAACCATGTATAGTTGATTTACATACTAAACAAAGGTGATTGTCCATGTCCATAGCTATGTTAGTTTACCAGAGGGTATGCTTTACAATGAAAATGAAGGTTTCACCAAGAAATATTGGGAATTGCGTTCCATTACTGCTGTATGACTTGGGTATGGAAAGAAACATGGTGAAGGCTTGATGAATGACATCTAGCAGCTCTAGCATGAATCGCTTTAGGATTCAGTTCGGATTACCTGGTGGATATCCTGAGGGTCCTAAGCAGAGGATATATTTTCCATAGCCGCAACCATGTAGGTGCCCCAGTTCGTGAGCAAAGTTGCTTTACAACAACAACTAGAGTAGACCCGGTAGATACATCATGATAGAGTCAGATGGGATTATAGAACAAAGCCCATAGATGGTTCATAAATCACATTGAACTATAGTAATATACGTATGTATATATATATATGATATACCTTAAGTCCTATAGTTAACCATAGTTTGTTCAATGTTAAATCATACGGCTGATTGGCAGGTCGAGTGTGGGGTCTTCAGGACACTTTGATAATGATGGCATGGGTCAAACTTGGGTACCCCAAGAATTGGAGTGATCATATATGTTAATACAGTGAATACGAAAGATACCCTCTGGGTATGTCAAAACAGCTATTGAACATGACCATTTATAGTGGATTTACCCAGCTATAACCAGAGGGTAGACATTCCCATCGGTTCCCGGTTCCCCCAGGTTTGACATATTTTGACTCAGATCCATAGATTTGCATTGCAGCATTTTGGTGAGGCACGGGCACGCTGGACTGGACTCAGAGAACTTGGGCCATGCAGGGCCACGACCTGCTTATTTCGCTTGGAAGAGACCAATTTTAGATGGGCCCTGGGTGATTTTGAGCTGGTGATTTCCAAAGTTCAGGAGTCTAGTGGGTCAGCTCTAGTGACTGAACGGATTGAAGCTTCAACCTAACAACGAGCTCGGATTTCCAGCTCTATGCAAAAGGGGGCACCCAAAGACATAGTTTTGGTTAGTCTACCTAGGTGGATGTTTGGATTTATGGTGAAATATGATGAATATGTTGTCCCCATATGATTCCAGTCAAAATGTACTGGGACTTTCCAGCAGATGCTGGGGACTTTTCTCAGAAAACATGCTGGGGCTTAGTCGAAATTTGGACTTGACCAGAAACAGTGGTATCTTTGATCTGCAAAAAAATCCGGATATGACCCTTTGAAACTGGGGTTTAATACATGCTGATGACCTTATGGCCGGCGTTGTGTCCAGTAAATGCTCGTTGAAAAAGAAGGATACAATGAATTTTCAGGCCAGGTTCGAGCTTTACGATGGTTCAGATTTGACTCTAGGCCTTATAAATTAGTGATTAGTGATTTGCCGCTTCGGCCAGATTTGCAATACTCCATGCGATGATTCACCGGACACATTTCGATCAAAAAGCTGGGACGAGGTGATGATTTTAGGGTTTCTGTGGGTTTCTACAATGAACATGTAGCTATTTATCGCAGTTTTCTACCGTAGATATCCGTAGATCACAAGCAATCCCAGTGCGCCAGTGCTATGATTCGTATGGCAGTGATCACTGCGATCACCCTGGGCCCATCTGAAGGTAACAGAATCCTAAAGAAAAAAGTGCTTGGTC